CCTCATTTTCCTCCGAGAAGCGTCCACAGTTGCATACAGCGTAGTTGCCTATCATGAGGAATGTGTACAAGTATCACTAAGCTACAGTATTCATTGTCCTCTCATGATAGTAGGGACACCAATAGATAGTCATTATGGTGGCCCACTAAAGTCCGCAAACCATGTGGGCCGGGAAGATAGTCTTCTCCATGATATGTAAGCCAAAGGGCTGATCTCATTGTTTTCTCCGTCCGAGTCACCGGAGTTAGGGCAGAGAATCACCGGCCTAGGCCGGTGATTTCATAAATTCGCTCAGGAGTGGAAAGTGAGCTACGAATCCAAAAGTACACACACATACCACAGAGTTTCAAAATTGGACTAATGCAAGGATCAATTGGAGGCAAAGTCTACACTACAGCGCTGAAGAAGTGACAGATTGTGGTTCAATTGACGCGATAAACCATACAGCTGAGGAGAAATGAGTAATTTTCTGACGTCTTGGCTATTGAATTCACAGTATTGTCGGCTAAAGCCGAGTCTTGCATTCCAACGGCGGGCTTGAGGCTCTTGCCATGTAGTTGTATGGGCTTTGATTCGAGCCTTGACATCGGGGCAGAGACCGGTCCATGTTTCTACCCACCATTCCACCAATGACCACAAACACCTACGTTATGGAGCGGTCCGAAATTATCAATCAATCTGCCAAGTTGCGGCCCCCATTGCAAGGTCAGTCAATAACATTTGATTCCTTAACATTTTAGCAGGTTCACCTGACTCTCAGCCGCTGCGGATAAATTGTGCCGATGACTAGTGTACACCCTTTGTCTTTAGAGTCCCCGCACTTGCAAGTCTTTTACGGCTCCCCCCGCCGAGCAGCGGATAATATCCACTAATTTTGCTGAGCAATCTAACCTGCGCCGTAGCGGAATGGTCCCGCCAGTGGCCCGCCCATAAGAGCGGTTTGATCATATCGCTCTAGGCTAGTGGGCTATGGAGGCTTGCAGGCACTGATCCCATTAATAACCTCGCCAACTTTCATGATGAAACGGTTTTCAGAAGTCAAGTCTCTCGGGGCTTAGCCCGTGCATCTTTCTGCATGAGGGACCGGATATGGCGGGCTTAGCGGAGATTAAGTGAGACGTAGCCGAGAGCATGAGTCTGTGAGACTGCAGAAGAATACTACAGAGAAAGTGGGAAAGCGCATGAGAATGCGTAAAAATAGTCCTCGAAGTAGTCAATTTATCAAGTCTTGCATTATTTGTCATTTTCAGTGATAGTTACCTAGGTAGTATGAAGACGACTAGGTATATAGTTTGCTGGTTTCGACCAGTAGTAGGCCGGTAATATATGGTTATGTTGGTTGGGCGGGGAATAATGGCAGGGATTATGGCACGCCTAATCCTTGGACTGGAGATTCGCGATCAACTACTCGCTGCTCGATGACCCGGATAGTTTGGTGGAATGTGAAGAGCTAAATTAAGACGTTAGGCGGGATATTTACTTTGTGGTGGAGTTGCAAGAAGGGAACCGAGAAGCAGAATTGGGAGGACACTGGCCTACCCCCGAGTTTCAGCAACAAACTCATCTCAAGGCTGGAAATAATTAAGCCTGCAGATGCATCAGGGGATTATGGGTATTACAAAGACGAGATCATAATGACTCATGCCAGGCGGGGCTGGTAAGAACAACCAAGTCATTTTGGCCCTCCACCGCCTTGGAAGCGGGCTTCTAGACGCTGGGTGGAAGGGCTCGCTGACAAGTCCAGCTCATCTCCCTACACTGAGTGGTTCAGACCCCTGCCAGAGGAGATCGGACCCAGTAAACCGGCAAGGATCTTCGTAACCACCAGCGGTGAGATGAGAATTCATAATCACTGCTCAATGGCCAAGATACAGTAAAAACTGTACCTCCTCGGTGTTTGCTCATTGGGTTACACAGACTGCACGATATTGGCTAAGGAAAACACGGAGAAACAGCAGCCTTTCGGTCTCCAAATTGAGTATAAGTTGTACATAGGATGCATGGAATTGTCAAGGGCTCGGCAATCAAAAAACATGATTGGCGGCCGCTCAAAACACATGCTGCTGAATTGAGTAAATTTAAACAGCGCTAAAAAAGAACCAATGAGCTATGGGAATACTACCTTGTCTCAGCCCTACAGGTGGAGCTTCAGGAATACACTTTGCGGGCAGCTTGCGGTCTAGCGGACGAGCTAGTCCGGTATTGAAGTTTAGGCGAGTCTTAACTCTTAAGAGTTAATAGCCGAGAAATTGATAAGATATTATCTAAGCCCTTGGAACGTTAAAGGAATGACAAGATTGGTCTACTCGTCCATTTCATGCTAGGAATATTATTACACGAGCTGAACTTCCTTCCCCTTTAGGAATAAAACTACGCAATTAAATTGGTATGCAGTAATCTACCAAAAATTACGGATTTGTTTTGAAGAAAAATACGATAAATAAACAACTGAAAGTATAGCTATAGATTAACGAAACAATGTGAGGGATGATCCTGATGGAGGGCAGATACTAAACCGGTCCCGTTGAGTTGCTCATTCCTTTATAAGCCTATCTTGCAGGAGTTGAAAAATATGTCAGAAAGATTGGCCGGAGCCATGTGGCTAGCAAGGCTGTTTGCCTGTGATACAGTGATTCGAGAGCTGATTGTGTAGCGGAATGTCAGATGATTAAGTCACTGCCTCTACACTGCGCCAGCATTCCAGAAGAAGTTTCTCATTTGATTTCTCGTTTCCGGATCGTACAGTAAGGATGAACAGAGTGTCAAAGGTCCTTCAGTTGGCTAGATTTGCTCCGTAGATCTGCTCCATACTTCTCGTATCCCAAACGCACGTTGCGAGAGAGCCAAATTCTCACAATCATGGAAAACAACCCATACGCCATACCCGTCTTTTACCCACCTGGCTGGAGAAAGGGTGAGATCCTTATCCTTAGTTTGTTGCCAAGATCTAGGGGTTACAACGTGGCAGAAGTCGAGACCGTGCGTCACACCGTCAGCTGTAATTTTACTTTGTAATCTGGACCACTCTACCTACCTTCACAGATTTGGATTCTTTCCGAGGCTCGCTGGCAGAAGGGTGCAAGGGGCGTCTTGAACGTATGAGCAGTCCATAAAGGGAAATTGGTCTAGACGGCGCAACAGGCTGCCTTCCACTGGCTACTCACTCAAATAAGTACCCACAGGGCGCTGTCAAATCAGTCTAGTAGCCGAAGACTAGTATCATTCCGTAGTACATGAGTGAATTAGTAGAGGCTCCAAGCCTCCAAGACCCAAACATTAAATGATTTGGACACGCGGCTAGAACGGAAATAGTGGGATTGATGGTCTAACTACTCTGTACGATCATTCCCTTCGAAATTGGGGGCTAGATTAAAGACTTGGAGTGTTACTCAATTCGAATTCGCCTAATGTACGTATTTCATGTAAAATTAGAACTCGGTTCTGACAAGCACGTGGCGGTATAGTTGATTAATGACTCGGAGTCGGAGCCGTCATGTACCTTTGATGCTTCCACGGAGTGGTGCAATGCAAAACGCCGGATACCATTTTTGAGAGGTGAAAGAAGCTGTTTCATCGCTTCGAGGCATAGAGAACATTTCTATATACATAGGGCTACCCGCACCCCTGAAAATAGAACGTACTAAGGACCGAATGATAGACATACAAGATCGGAAACCGCAATTGAACTTGACGATTAATAGAGCAAAGGTTATTTAACTTGGATTGATTTAGGGAGGGTCACCATTATTGGGAGCCGTCATAACTACCATCCATTAATATCCATCTGTGCAACAGTACCTCTAATAATACTATGCTAGCAGGAATACCGTCATCTACTCTATCCAGTCACGATCCATTCCTGTGTGTTGACTCCATTCAGGCCCCCCCAACGGCAAGCCACCCAACATGTTCTATGGTCGCTTGTTTCATATTATTCAATGAGCACTATGGGACACATATCCTATTTTCTTAATTCAAAATAAAGTAGAATGAATGCCACGGGATCTGTTGTATATGAGCTCTGAGTTGTTATTCAGGCAAGCCAAATCAGTAGTTTGTATCAAAGCCATATTGGAGAATCTATCAAAGTCCAGTGGTACACTGCTTCCCCATCCAATACTCTAGCAACATTCTTATCAATCTCATGACGTCCATGGTTTCCCTCCAAAAAATACCATCTTTCTGATGATCATTGCTCCCAGCTTCTAAGAATGAGGGGTGGAAGATAGATAAGAGATAAACCATCATCAGGGCCTCTTCTGGGTTAGTTTTTGCGAACTGCATGGCATGCTATCATGGTTTTGATTGGTATTGTGCCTCTGCAGCTCGGGAAAGGAGCAACATCGCCAGATCAAGTAATCATAATGCGCCATGCTTCTATTTCTGAACTACTCTAGAAAGAATGTTGCAGAACGCATTACTGTGAATTAAATTATTGAGCCCCTGATGTAGACCCTCAGCATAGTCTGGATATGGAGTAGCTACAGTAGTGATTCATATTTCTGTTGGAATGTGGATTGATTGTGATACCTTGAACCACATGGCCATGATTAGTGGTCAAACCTACCCTATATCCTGGGTTTGGTTGTTGGGGTTTTAGAGAAAGGTAGATTGTGGTAGCCTTGGGGAAGGTGGGGGCGGTAATCCAAGGACTCAGTTAGCACTGCCTGATGTTGTCCTTCCTCCACGCTCCATGTCCATCCCTCAATTCAGTAGTGTTATTACTCATTCTTGCTGGTCGGCCATTGGCCTGATCTCTAAAACAGCCTCACGCACTTGCATTCCTTCAGCCCAGCTGGCCGACCAGGTCCATTCATCGTGACGCAGCCCTGCACATCTAGTCTTCCATTCAGGGAGGGTTCCTTACCAACAACACATGGTTCCAGATCCATGCCATAACCCCCTAGAAGACTAGCGGGTATTTCCAGTTTCCATGGTCCCAAAAAATAATAATCAATAAATGGAAAATGAAATAAAACCAACAAACATATTACTCAACAATTGAAAATCCTTTTTTTAATTCTTTTTTCTTAAAAAAATAAAGCGAAATTAATTCTCGGAGCTCGGACTTGAGCTGTTATCTACGATTTGATTCATCATCATGGATTGTTTTCGGTCCAGATACAATGGCGGCTTAGCAGCCCATAACTAGACGCCTGATTCTCCAGCTGATCGACCTTTAGGCTCAGACTTCTTTTAAATACTCTGATGCTTCCTGTTCCCTCTGATGGATCCTGTCTGTTGACTCTCAGTTACCGGTTGCAACCTTATCATTAGTCTACATTCTACTTGGTATAGATCACTCAAACGCTCCTAGGTTCTATGCTCTGTCTGAGCTTCGGTTAATCTTCCCAAACCATCCTGACTTTATACTTCCTGCCATCTATACTTGCTACTGCGCCTTTAAATTTGCTTAGCATACCTTCTCTTTCCCGCACAAGATGCATCGCTCTACGAGCAACTCGTACCATCAGTCTTCGAGCTCCCGAAGCTCATCCACCCACGGCTCCAGCAGTGCTTTCAGTCCCAATGCCAACCCTAACGAGGACTGGACAAAGATCTCAGATCTTGCTGAACGTCGACGGATACAGAATCGCATTGCTCAGAGGAACTACCGTAAGTAGTTCCATACTACCTGACTTGCGCTGAAAATGTGTTCTGACAATCTCCGGATGCAACAGGCAAGAAACTGAAGCGTCGCTTGGAGGACCTGGAAAAGAGGGCTGCCTCTGCTTCAGAGTCGCCAGAACGGTCCCACGAGAAACCGGAGCTGCCGAAGCATGCGAATCCTGTCAAATCTCGCAGCAGGAACAATCGCTCGTCCAAGTCAAACTCGGAGACCAGTCACAGCTCCAGGGAACGCCTTCCTCCTTACGACTGCTACAATAGCCAAGACGACCGGGGTGCCATGTTCTCTCACCAATGCACAAGGCAACTGTCAGCGTCGCCCCCACCTGTGTTCTCATACCCCTCGTATCCGCACCTGGACCCATACAGACAGTCCAACTATGGCACCTCTCCCGCATACAGTTCGACTTACAGTGACTTGTCGTCCTTCCAAGGGGAGTATGGAACCCCAGTGCCTTCGATCATGCCTGTTGCGATGTCTGCAGGCGGGCCACTGAAGAGACCACATACATATGCGGACGAAGAGATCATCAGTCCCTTCAGTATGAGCTACGCGACTATGGCCGGCATTGACTTGTGTCCGACTTCTCACCATCCGGGTGAATCTAATATTTCTGTACGTAATTTGTCTTCTGACCTGCGTCGATGTCATTCAAGCAAAGAAAGGAGTAAGGAAGCTGACATCTGGTTCATTAGATCCCATCTCTCTGTCAATTATTTGCTGAGGATCATTCCTCTCCGTCTACACCCGCTGAGACGTCCATTCTCACGTGTCCTCTCACACCCGAGTCGGACCCGTGCTCCCCGCATTCGTTTCCCTTTCTGTGATTGAGCTGTCGTCGCTTAATTGAGTTGTTGAATTACCAAATTTCTTTTTAATGATGTTACGATACGCTTGGCCGGATGGGAGTTATGAACAATCGGGTGTTGCTCTCCGCGGCGATCTTGGCTTTTTTTCTTTCCTCGCTCATTCTGGGCTGTTATTCGTTTACGAGCTGAATCGTTCTGCTCGGAGAAGATCTCCTATCATATGACGATTTCTGGGCTTTCGGATGCCCATGTGGTGATGCATGACTCGGGGCGTTCAATGTTTTACATTAAGAGACGGAAGTTCATCTTAGGAGTTGGAATGGGAATTGGCAGCAATGCTGGGTTGATTCACTCTTTTGTTTGTCCATCCACCTTTCGCTCGTTCCGTCTTTCGGTTCCACTTGGATTTATTAGAATACCAAATGAAATTATAACCAAACAATTGGCCTTTTTTACTCTAATCATCACGGCTGCGGAGTTAACGGCATGTTGATGCTCCGACTCCAGGACTGTGGGTCGTATGGTGAATCTGGTATGTTGGACGTATTAGCCTGTATTGTTTTTGGCCCCCAAATCTCCACAAAGTGCACCGACCATACTCCTAATCGGTTAGAGGCATGCTTGGGCTTTTCGAGTGCTATTCGTCTCGAACTTCAGAGGAATATTCTCCCTACTCTATATCACCGAACGTGCACAATTCTTTGGCTACATTTCTGGCCGCGTGCTCCAAAAGGATCAAGGTCCCAGTCAATAAATAAAATAACATACACTATAATCACAGGGACAATGGCTGGGTTTGGCTGGACCGGAGCGAGTTTCCGGACGATTGTCGATGCTGTGCTTCTACGGTATAGTCCGCAAGTACCTACTCAAATCCCCAAGCAAGAATACGACAGGCAAGAATACGACCGTCCATCCGACGCAATCCGTCCTACACCTGATAGGGAGACCGACGACTCAGTAGTAACAGTCCACTGCAGCTTTCCAGTGCCAGGGTTTAGAGAAAATGATTGGCTTCGCGCTAGAAATTGCGTTGATTCGTTCCCGCTGTCCTTCCTTGTCTGTTGCCATGGGTTAGAAGCGATTCTTAATCCGCACCATTATTATTATTTCTTCAACAAATTGACTCGCGACAGCTGCCACGGGCCAGTTGCTGGTTGATTCTCAGTGGGGCTCTGCGCAAGTATGTACTAAGTATGAACCATCTAACATGCTGCGCCTCCACAGCTCCAGCCTGATGTGGTACAGTGCATTGGTCAAGGAGACACGGACCACTGGCAAGGGGAATCAAGCGAATTCGGGGGCCCTTGTACATCCTGGGCTTTTTGCTTTGAACTGTGATCAATTGACCTTGTGTACATCCATGGAAAGCAGGTGGACGATGTCTGTTTCCTTTCCGGGTAAGACAGGGAGACTGGAGCAATTCGGACACTCAAGTTACAACTGACAATTGACAACTAAGTGTTCGCTGCTGGAGCTATCCTACTGCAGGATTATTACTCATCAATTCAAGATGCGTCTTGATTGATAATCTCATCGAGACAGGATGGGGTCATTCTTCCACCTGTCGGTCCTGCACGCTCGATGAGGCTAGCAATTCTAAGAGTAGTTAATTCTTATCTCGACCTGACAGCGCATATGCAGATGCCTCTGTGCAGAAATGGAACCACATGAGAAGAACAATGATTTCTAATCCCTTCGTCTAATTGTCGATTCTGGTTCTGCCCTTCACAAGAGTTGTCTTGAAGCTTAACTGGGACCACTCAGGGGCGCAAAACAGCCAGATTTACACTCTTGGTCCCAGCCATCAAACTACTTTCGATCTTGCCTAGGCTGCAATATTGTTTGGGGATGATCGGACTTCATACTGGAAGCTCCGGAACGAATACAATTCACCGTTTCGAGTCATTGCTGGGCGTTGAGACAGGGCAGTACATCCATCAGGCGCAGACCAACCAGAGTTTGTCAAGACTGTTAGTCTGTTAGATACGAGCTCGCTTCTGGGTTGTGTCCTCCAACTCGGCTACGAGCATAGTGTTTCCTCAAACGGAGTTGTCCGTGGACGCTGCAGAGTGGACACACGAAACGAAGATCCTTTGATACCTGCCGTTTGATTGACCAACGACTAGACTTGGTCCTCTGTCGGGTCTTCAGCCTTACACTGTATGTCTGTGCGGATCATGCGGAGTGAAAGTGACCGGCAGGCATCAGTAGCAGTAAATCGCCAGCCGTCAGCACATCTCAGCCCTGATTTAGCCGTCTGTCCCGTCTGTCCATGACAGTCTGACGATTCCTCGTTGTCGGATTTAGACATCCAGCTTACGATTTAAGCTCGCAAAACTGAATGCTGACGATCCGCTCTAGCGGTTTTCTCTGTTCTTTTTCCTTTTTCTCCCTTTGGACTTATCTAATACGATCCGTCTTCTGACATCAGGCTGAACAGATGGCCGATTCAAATCCCGGGGCTCCATCGAAGCCGCGATTGATAGATCCCGTACCATGCTATGAGACCCTTCCAGCCCTCCACAATCAAAAGGAAAAAGGCAAAAAGAAGGCAAAGCGCAAAATAAAAATAAACTGATTGACACAGTGCCACGGTGCGATAAAAGGGCGTGTTACATTGTTGTCATTCAACATGGTTACATGGGGAACTCAGCCAATCGTTTCAGGTAGCGAGACCCCAAACATCTGGGCTCGTATACAGTTAACCAGTAGAGAGATTGAATTCTCCGTATTGGCTTCACGGCCCCGTACTCACAGTGAAACAAGTACCAGGCAGCAGATCAACTGCATACATTATTGTCATTGTGTAACCCAAAGCGGCTCTGAGGAACCTCGTCCATTCGACAACCTTCACTCGACCCCTCCTAAGCCAAAAGGGTTAGGATTAGGAATAGGAAATAGGTAGGGACGACACGACTTCCAAGACTCGGTTAATCCAAGACAGATCTCAAAATCGGTGAACAACTAGCGAGGTATGAAAACAAAGAAACCCAACTCCATCACAGTGTCACAATCACGCCAGCGCGACCTAAACTATCCATGGCACGCTTGTGCTCCAACCTTGATCAAGTCCTAGTCCAGACGGAGGTTACGGTCCTACCGTCCTACCGTCCTACGGAGACGGAGCCCACTGGTACCGACGGCGAAAGCCGAGCGAGCCCCACCCCTTGCATGGAGGAAATATGCAGCAGGAGCAAATAGATTGTGCCAGTCCCTTGGCGTTCGTTCACTGCTCGACCCCCAAAATCCGATGATTGAATATTGCAATCCCTCACGCAGATGACTATTGACACGGTGACAGTGACAGTGACAGCGAAAGCGACATGTGAATAGGAAATGCTTCGTGAGGAATGATGTTGGCACCGAATCATCTGATGCTATCTATCTGCATTGATTTCAAATGATGACCAAGCATCATCCCAGACGTATCTTTCTTCACATTGAATATTGCTCTGCTCCAGATAAGGTAATAGGTTCAATGTCCACTGAGTAATCACTGACGATTGCGACGTGCTCAACGCCCATCGCAGCCATCAATTGACTAACAGGTGCAGTTGCCCATTATTACAGCTTAAGGCGTGACCGGCTGCACGAGGGGAGCAAGTACATGGTTAGCGAAAGACTTGAACGTTCTAATTCGTATAGGTCCATCAGTTTCATACTGTGACACCTGTATACCTGTATGAGACTTGGGGTGGAATGTAGCCCAAACCAACTGTCGCAGAGATTACCTCAAATATGCATTGCTCATGGGCGATGCTACAGGGCCAAACTTCACAATAAATCAGAACAACTCCATATGATTTTCCTTTTGTACTGTATTGAATTCGATAGGCTGTATGTCATGAACAAAGAAAATAACAGTCAACGACGCCTTGATGCAGGTCAAAAAAGATTAAGAAACAAAGCCTTATGTTTCCCCGGCATTAGAGAGGTCATTCGCATGAGCAGATGAGGTTTCTTGAGGTAGCCTCCGCACGCACACACACACACACACACACACAACATCAGTAGATATGAACCAACATGGTGAGAAAAAGCAGACAATGAAGAGGGAAAGAAAAAAGAAAAGCCTTAAGCGATACAGTCCCTATCCACATCACAATGGCAAAACCCCAACCGTCGGTATCACAGCTCGATCAAATCGTCCCCTTCAACCTCCTGCAGGATCTATCAACCTTCCGCCCCGTTGATGCTCATCTGGTCGGGATTATGCCGCCGTCTCCGCATGGGCGCTTTCTTCCTAGCTGCGATTGCGGCTGCATTCTGGGATTCAATGTTCATCTCGGTATCGCCGGCATCGTTCGCTGAACCATGGATGGCCTCGTACTGCGCCAACTCGTCCAACTCCCTGATGTCCGTCGGCTTCATCCGCAGCCACTTCATGCGCGGACCAACTCTGGATCGCTGCGAAACGCGGAATCCGTAAATCTTCGACTCGTAAATTCTACCTGGTCCCAGGCCGGGGCAGAAGTTGACCGTTCGCACGCCGTTGATCTCCGTTGGCTGGTTCGGCGGCGGCAGATCGGGGGTCGCGCGATTGACCCCAGACGTCAAAGACGAGGATCGAGATTGATTGTTTGCATTCGTAGGGGCAACGGTTAACATGGAGGGATCCAGGCGAGGCCCAATGTCCAGGTCGGGGAAGGTCATGAAGAAAAGGTATCCGAACGTGGTCCCAAAGAAGGCCCCATCAACCGAGTGAAAACGACTGTTGGGCGGAGTGTACAGATCCTGACAACTGGGGCAAAACAGCTTCACAGTCTCTTGTCCAGGCGTGTCGGAGCAGCCCACGGGCAGGACCTTGCTTCCATTGCAGTAGGCGCGCGGACAGACACCAAAGTGCTGCATTTCGTACTTCTCCAGCATCTGCTGGATTCCCGGTCGCGAAGTGATATAGCGCTGGTGGATGAGGCCGTAGAGCAGTTCCGCAGAACTTTCGATCACGCTCAAGTCGCTGGCCACCCGCGCATGTCTCCGGTCCCCAGCTCTGCGGTAGCCCGGCGGTCGCTCATCACCGAGGATCTCGTCATCATCCTCCTCCTCTTCCTCTTCTTCCTCCTCCTCGTCTTCGTCCTCCTCCGGTTCCACATCCAAAATCATCTCGAGCGCCTCCTTGTACATGGGCACCTGCGACTGCAGACCCGTAAGATTGAAGTCATCCTCGATAAAGTCTTCCGACACCTCTGCGAAGAATTCATGGCCCATCAGCGAGCAGAAGGAGGAGATCCATGACTCCGGCGCCCCTTCCGAAGACGACATATCGAACGAGCCGGATTCGGATGACGACGAGGCTGACGATTCAGACAGCTGACTCAGATCCAGCCTGTTCAGGCCGTCGGCCAACGCCGAACCTATCTCTCTCGACACGTTGCCGAGTAGCGAAACGGAAAACGATGGATCGAACGAAGACGGAAGCGCTTCGCTTGGATTTCTTCGACCCTGGTCGATCGGGCACAGACCTCAGCCCAATTGCCTCGGATGATCGAGGTCGAAAGAGTCGTAAAACTAAGATGGACCGTGGCTCGGTCTGGGCTTGGTCGGAAAATCAGGAAAGAGGTCGGGTCTGTCGTCTACCTGATAATTGGAGGGGTCATCCCAATGTGCGGGACGGCGAATCGTTGTGCGATGGAGGAAAGTGTTGACGCGATAGCGCTTGATGGTGGAATTTCCCCACTAACACTACCGTACTGCTCTCAAACAGAGATCGAGGTCATCCGTCGAGTTGTGGGGTATAATTCTAGCAAATTTCACCGTAGTGAAGCGACCAACACAATCGATTGTAGAGCGTAAATGCCAGACCTCTCTGGTCACTTTCTTTGTGGTGGTGCAGTGGTCGATCGACGGCGTCGAGGGGGTCCGGAGTTTAGGTTCGTGGGGCGGTAGGGAAAAACGTCGCTGTTATCTCTACGATGATCGAGAGGACTTGACAGTTGTCGCAAGACGGAAATGTGTAAAAAGTGGCTTGCCCGTGTCCGTGAATTATGTGGTCACAACATTGTGATTAACACTGATGTTAAAACCAATGCCCCTGATGTGGTGCTGGTCCTGCGTAGAACGTTCATGTGGCTGGATTCATTCTGGTCACGTGCATGATTAACTCCCAGACATTTTAACTCGCCCGGCAAGTCTACAACTACAGTGAATGTCATCTGGAACGCGAGACAATGGAATCCAAGTCATTATATTTCTCGTCATAATCTCCTGCTTATCGTCGTGGTAGTCTCTGGCTGATATATACATGACGCATGCCGCGTAGTACTGTCAAGAAATCAAAAGAGCTCCCTGATGATCCGGGAGAGCTCGCCATCATCGCCAAAAATGCCTGAAAGTCCCTCGCCCGTGTTTTGAAGCTCTCCATCATGATTTACAAACCCGGGTATACCTTCGGGTGCTGTACCAGATGCAATGAAGCTGCTATACCCTCCAACAGCCTCGAACAGGTTGGTGAGCTCTTGACTCATCTGCAGTCCGTTTAAAGGACTGTTTCCCAGTTCATTGACCCCGTTCATCGGTCCATAGACAGATAGATTCTCGATCGAATGGCCCGCCAGGCCCGCCATGGCGACAGCAGCCGTTGAATGGGGTCGTTCGAGTCCGAGCCGAACGGGCGCGCCAGCACGCCCAGCCGTTCCCCAATCATTCTCAGTCCCTTGATCGTCTTCCAGAGCCGCTTTGAGACGTAAGATTTCGTACTGAATCCGTTGATCAGATCGAGTGCCATGTAGAACTCATCCCGCACCTGGCGGTTGAATTCGTTTGGCGCGTGACATACGGCCAAAAAGAGCACCGCGAGAGCGGCGACAAGGAAGTAGTTGAAGGTAATTTGTTGAGTGCGATATATGTCAGACGTATGATTAAGCTGTGTGAGGACTCGAACTGTATCTTTGGCGACATCCACCACAGTTTGAGCATGACCTTTGTCTTCGGCGATACTCGCAGAAGAATGCAGTACGGGCCGATAAATGAGAATCCGAAGCTGATTCATGCGCAAGTACAGCAGCACCCGTAGTCGCCGCAAACCCCGGCTGGCCGTCTCGCCATGCTTTGGAGAGTCGCCAGGGTAAAATTTCAACGCATCGGGAACCTGCTTGTACCACTGGAGAACCTGGTAGTCCAGATACCCGATCTCATCCCTGCGTATGTCTGTCGTGCCCTCAGAGCCAAGTCCGGAATACCATATCTTTGAGCTTATACGATTATATGAGATCATACACCTCAAGTAAGGCAGCGATCCGTCCTAGACCTGTTAATCAGACATGCATGACGCGTGTCGTTCCTGGCTTTTGACTTACAGGCTCGGGGAGGTTAGGGTCGATATCCTCATCTTGAATGACAAAGGGTAGGCCGGTACCAAGACTCCAGCGTCTATCCAAACTGTAGATCGTCCAGAAGATCTTGGTGACGTCAGCCCATTGATCCTCGTTGGGAAAGGATTTCATCAACGCCTCCCGTCGGTGTAGACCCAGTTCAAGGCACATACGTGCAGCGAATCCTATCACTCGGTAGGCCATCGCATCGTCGTCCGTGTGGAAATGGTAAGTTGCCTGTCAGAACATTTAGTCAGGGTCTCGGGCGGGTCGGATATCATCAGAATGACAATACATACCACCATGCCGAAGAGCTGGATGGTCTTGATGTCGATCGGTCCCCAAAGCTTAGCCTCAATGACTGGCTTGACACTCAAGAACAGACGTTGGCCCAAATCACTTCGCCCGCTCCCCTCCACGATCAATGTTATGGCGAGAATCATCTTGAGGACAATTGTATTATCATCATGGAGAGAGTCTGAGCCCGGGAATGCTCGCTGCGCAAAGCCAGTTCGCATTGCAGCCTCCATGAAAGTATAGAGGAGGTTGACTTGATTGGTGACCTTCTCAATATCCACAAGCGGATACATAATCCCGACTTCTTCCTCATAGACATGACAGAGTCGTAGAGCTTCCTCCCGTTTGATTGCCCATATTGGATCTTTGCTCGGATGTATGGGCTGTGTGAATACAGTCTGCTGAGCAGGCGGCGATGCGGCCGGCGTGGCTTGGGCCGTTGTCAGATCGTCATTCATGACTTCTTCGGCGGGTGCAATGCCCATGTTCTGAAGACTGGATCTGGCGACATCGAAATTGAAGGCGGAGCTAGTGGGACCATGGAACCGCAGATGTCTTACGCGAGGTCTGACGGTAGCCGCGTGCATCGGCGTAAAGACCGACTGTGAGCCATCCCGAGAGAGGTCCTCCAGATTCGGCGAGTCCAAAGATGATCTTTGATTCCGAAGATCGTTCAGACTAGTGAAGAGACTGTTCACCTGTTCCTGCAGAGTTGTGATCTGGTCTTTCATCGAACGGAACTCCCTGTCCCGTACCATCACTTGTCAGTCGCCTTACTGAGAGCAAAGTAAGCCAGAACAAAGACAAGGGAGATAGAACATACTCCGAATCCTTGAAGTTATTGTTACAGCAATTGGGGGCGTATCGGCCTATCACACTGTCATTTTCTCTCCACTGAAAACTCAAACGTAATAGAGCGATGAAAACAGCCCTTTGAGACATAGTACTGACACTCGAGTTTCAAATGGCCACAGCGCTGGCATGGCACTTGACCGTTGCACTTGATCTTGCGTCGCTTACATTCATTGCTATAGCAAAGAGCCACGTTAGTCAAACCGTACTCAGTCCCAGGGCTGTATCACAACTATGACGATAATCATCATGGATTTACAGCCATTCACAAATGCAAACTTGGGTAAATTCAGGAGTTTCCTCAACTGGGATCATACCAGGCGATTGAGATGTAGCGATTCCGCTTTGTGCGCGTGTGAGTTCCGTTGCTCTGTTCCGCTTTCCTCTTTGCGCTGTCCTCAGCCGGGCTGGCATTCTGGTCCGCTTTTCCCGCCTGAGGGGTAGCAATATCGACATGGGAAGACTCGGAAGCCATGTCAGATGCGGTCATTATGGCCTGATCGCGTTGTTCTGCGCAGGATAAAGGCAGCGAAGAGTGCGGAGAGATTCCTTTCATGCTGCTGCCGGGTCTTAATGGCCGCGCGGGGTTTCCGTTTCCCCAGAATCTTTTGAGCCAATCAGCGCAGACCCAGAGCTAGCATAGCACATCTCTCAATTACAATAGGTAGATAGGTAGATTATCTTTTACGGCAGCCATAAATATATATATTTGCAATTCACGAATCAGCAAGCGCTAGCTGCGATAGATCATTTCTAATGCCAAACTCAATCACGAAAGCATTCGATGAGCGCGGAGCAAACCATCTCGGATAGCTGAGACTATTGTAGTTCGGGCTCCACTAAACAATTTGACCAGCCGTTGAGTATCTTTGGGATGCATCTTGAGCCAGCACAGACTGGAAATGAGTGCCACGAGTGCAAATATCCTCAGCACGGTCTTCATCCTCTGAAGCATGAGTCCCTTGCGTGTATACTTGGCTGTCCAGTGGTGCCACATAGGAAAGGTGCATCTGAGATAGTAGTCAATCTGAGTAAATCTAAACGAGGTTATCAGCGGGCGTCTTCTATCAGTCGTGACTTAATCTAGTTGGGAGAGACTCACGGATAGGTGGACGAGTTCCAACCTTCATCAGTCTGGTACCAGCTTGTGCAAGTTCCGCGTCGAAAGACGGTGCCCTGAAGACTTCTCTGTACTTTGTCCGTCCAGTCTCGCTCAGCATTCTCTTTCACCTCGAAACAACTGACACGTCCCTCAAGAATGGGTTTGATGAAGTTCAGAGAGTAATTGATGGCATTCTCGACCGCGAAAATGACGCTGGTATGGCCGGTGGCTGTGTTCGGGCCAAACGAAAGGAAGAGATTCGGCATATGGTCCATGGCAATGCCCAGGTAAGCCTGTGCTCCTCCACGCTCCTCCCAAATCTCGTCAAGGGTTTTCCCGCGCCGACCGAAAACCGGGAGAGGATGAAGGAATTTATTGGTCTCGTATCCGTTGGCCAGAATAATGACATCTGCCGGTATCTGTCTCACCCCATCTGTTGACTCCTTACTTTCCGGCGGATAATGCCGACCAGGGCCTAGTGTCACGCTTCTGGCTTGGACGCCTACCAAGGGCTTCGTCGTCAGTTCAAAATTGGGCGCATGAATGCTGGCATAATAGTTGGACTCGACAATTCGTCGCTTACAGCCCAGGCTGTAGTTGGGAGTGAGTATGTCGTGATACTTTTCCGGAGCAGTCGCTCGCATGTGCTCTAGGAATTTCCTCTCTAACCTGGAACGATTCCGACGGGAATACTCATTGTCCTTGAAGACTTTGAGAAAATCCCACTCCAAGAAGAAGAACAGCAGGGCCCTTGCACCGAAAGCAAGGCCAGGAACGTTTTTGAACAATGGCGGCGTGCATTTCTCCCACTTCTTGAGCGACTTCGGCGTCAGTAAGTCGGGCATGAACCAGGCAGGCGACCTCATGAGCTGTGTGATTGACTTGACCTTGGACTCGGGTTTCGTCAGCTCAGGGACTACCTGGGTTGCACTGCAGCCAGAGCCAATGATGACAACATCTTTCCCGGACAGATCAAGGTCGCTCTTCCATCGAGCTGTATGAACAACCTCGCCTTCGAACGTCTCAATCCCGGGTACACTTGCAGGCCATTTTTTAGGCTCGACAAGCACACCCACACCGCTGACAACAATCTTTGCTCGCACAATCTCTGTTTTGACATAGACACTGCGCTCGCCTTCCTTGGATATTCGCGCATTTCTTTCCCCTTCGGATAAGTCTCCGGTACCAGGAACAAGATGCAATAATGTGACTTGCCACTCTTCCGCATCCTCTAACCATCGCAGTTCTTTGACAGCAGTGTTGAGTTGAATCTTGTCGACTATCTCGTACTTCTCGCAGACATCAGCCAAGTACTGAACAATCTCCGGTCCGGGGGGTGTAGGGTAGTCCAGTCTTTCTTTGGAGCAAATGAGAAAGAGTACAACAGCGCGGGCCTAATAAACACTCAGCAAAAGAGTCGCTTCGACAGAGCATAAATGCCTCGAGAGGCCCATACACATCGCATGCGGCTCCTGGGTAGCGGTTGATCCACCAAGTGCCTCCGATGCCCGATTGCCTTTCAAAGATTCTGAATTGATCAAAACCCAAAGCTTCCTTGAGTCGACATCCTGTAGCAATGCCAGACACCCCTGCACCAATCACGAGAACCGGGTAGTAGCTGTGAGCATCTTTGCCATATGAATGGCGTTTGTGAATCCTTGCCACCGAAGAGGGCATCTTGCCTGAGCAAGTTGTAATAGATTTGAAGGCACAGCCGGGCGATAGCAAGAAAGCATAGAATTCCTGAAAGACTTGGAATGACAGAGCTATAGACAGCAAAGAGGGTTGTTAAGTTATGTAGGCCAACATTCCCAGGGAGTTCCTCGGGCTTCCCCAGCAGGAACAGCCATACTAACGCACCACCCCTCCCCTTCATGATTTATCATTTATTCAGAGCCGAGAATATCGGTTGCATGGATCTCAAGTGAGGGGAAGCCATGATCGACAACGTCACAGAAGTTGAGAGGATCGTCCTCACCTCGGTTGTTCAATGGCTTATGACGCTCAAATCGGATCGACCGAGGAAACATCATGCTTTGTGCTCCTCAATCAGCAAGGGGAAGAGTCAAGACGACGGTCAACCGAGAGCCATTGCTTTTCTCTGGAGCTATACTACTAGAGATCATGCAATGTTCTATAATGATGAATTTGAGTGCTCTCGTCATATTCTCCACAGGAGCAGTCAAAGGTGGAGGGTGATTCGACATGGCCCCCTGTATGGGACCTGAAGATCCACAGCACTAGATAGTTCCCGTCAAATGTGACATGCCACCTTTGTGTCGGGCTGTGTAGCCGGCACGCCGGCGCAATCCTCTGACTTCGCCTTGTGATACAGACATCCCTTTGCCCTCCAGAAACATAACGACTCTCTGAAATCAACCGAAGTGGCAGCATTGGCATAGTTGTTCTGGATGAAGTATCAGCAATGGCTGCTTACCCGCAATAACCTGGGGGTTCCCAAGCGACCATCACGTGTCGTCCGCACCAAACAACCGGGGTTAATATCGTTGATCAGCTCCAGGGATGGACACTCAACATCTTCGACACCTCAGAGCCGATATCGTCCCCTGAAACCCCTCCGCGAGGTTGAAATTGATGAATTCCGCAGTAGCTACTTCCACCCAGAACTTCCGGTCCTTCTCCCCCGTCAGCACTTTCGCGATCTTCCCGCATGTGAGCGATGGTTCCAAACGGTCCCTTCCTCTAACGGCCATGACCGCAGATTGAATACGGCATATCTACAAGAGCATGGCGGAGATGCATTCGTTCCTCTTGAGCTCACGCAGTCGCCCGCAGAAACCAAGGCGCCGGGCGCAACTGTACCTGAATTGAACGAGCTGAGCTTCCGGCAGTTCCACGCCCCATTGAGTCTGTTCTTAGACTGGATGCGCACCGCAGAGTTGCAGTCGCAGGCTACGCGACTCTACCTGGCGCAATGCCAGCTACTCGATCTTCCACCAGTTCTTCGCGATGACTTTCCCACTCCCGAACTCGTTCTAAAGGCAGGCAAAGGCGACGTCTACGATACGAACGTATGGATCGGACACCCGCCTACATATACTCCTTTGCACCGGGATCCGAACCCGAACCTCTTCGTGCAAATTGCCGGACACAAGGTTGTGCGACTGTTAGCTCCCGATGCCGGGCAGAGGGTATTCGCATCGGTCAGGCGCCAGCTGGGTCGGAGAGGGGATCGCGAGGCAGCTGCTTTCCGGGGGGAGGAGATGATGCAGGGACAGGAAAGGACTCTGCTGGAGCAGGCTGTTTGGGATGATGCAGACTCGGACGGTACCAGTAATGTGCAAGATGAAGGATACGAAGCTCATTTGGAAGCTGGTGATGGGCTATTTATACCAAAGGGATGGTGGCATAGCATCAAAGGTGTTGGAGAGGGCGTGACCGCGTCGGTGAGTTTCATCTACCTTCTGTTTGAGTGTTCACTGCTCTAACTCCAAATCAGGCAAATTGGTGGTTTCGGTAGAAGGAACTGCAGGGAATCCTCGTAGTCAACTAAACTGTGCTGTATTATACCTGGAAAATTGTTCTGTACATTGGACCTGGACTTAGATAGAAATTCATGATTTTTATCTGAGCATGACGCAGAGTCGTGGTTGTGGTCTCCCAAGGCCATTCTAGAATCCTCTCCGCGGATCCTCCCTCTCTCCACTTGACCTCGAAAACATCAATCTCCGCTATAATTATTCCCTCGCCTCTCACCCTACAACTCGAATCCCATTCTCATTGTCCAGAAATGTACACGTCGCTCAAAGCCATATCCCGCGCTACAGTCCTCCATCTCAGTCTAAATCCTCTTCTCTCAATCGGTGTCCGTGCCTCAACCGCAACCGCAATATCACCAAACCTCCGCTCATACTCAGCATTATACCCCATCTGCCCATCCTACAACCTCTACCACCCTACGCAAATCATCTCAATCCACAATCGCAACCAAGAATATCCCTTCTCTACATCCGCAACCATGTCCGCCGACTCTGCCTCCAACGAGAGCCAATCGCAACCCCAACGTCCACAGGAAGAAGAGCAGGGGCAGGAACAGGATCAAAACAAACCTATCCTCGCGCTACCGGAGGCTCCCTCGGCAGACTCACAAGTCACACAGATCGACGTCAGTGGTGGCGGGTCGACGGTGAAGCTCGACGCTCTGGGCCCGCTGGTGGTTAATCAGGATGGAACGCTGTCACGGATCGCCAACTGGGAGCAGATGACTGAGATCGAGCGGCGGAATACACTGCGCGTGCTCGGCAAGCGGAATAAACTACGGTTAGACACATTAAAGGCGGCAGAGGGTGAGAAGGAGGAGGGCAAATGATCGACTGCATACGGCGTTTGTCGATGGTCTATTGGATGATATATTTCGTGTCTATATTGTACTATACTGTAGAATTTTTCGGGATGCTCGCATGGTTCTTTGTACATTTCCTCACAACAAACATATCCTCATGCCAATCATAATATAATCGTGACAATACCCAGACATACAATGTTGCAACATCTAGGGCAGGCAGGTATATAGCAGGTTGCCTAAGCGAAAAGCCAATCAGCGAATCTCGAGAGCGCGTTGCTAAAATCACAAATCAGCTGGCCTGGTCGCGAAGATTCGGGAACCGACAAGATCATCCTTACCTTGGTTTTTCGGGAATGTAGTTTCTCTCGTACTCGTCGATCTCGTCAAGTCCTGTCACGAGATCCACCTCTTCCGGCTTCTTCGTCTTTGTGCGGTTTACAATCTTCCAACTAAAGTACAGAATTGGAAACGCTCCAATCATCGTATAAGAGAAGAGGAAGGTCGGGATATCCCAATTCCCAGGCAGAAAGACAGTATAGCCGCCTACAAAGGCCATGACTGTTGTGGAAACCAGAGCAACATAGGCAGTATATGGTTGCCACCAACTCTTGTATGGAAGCGATTCGCGTGGAATACCTTGGGCTATCATAGCTTTCCGAAAACGAGTATAGGTAAACGTGACGACGGAGAAGTTGATGAGCTGAGAAGCAGTTACCTACTGACTGTTAGAGACCTTTTTCTCGAAGGAGAACCAAAGGTGGTTGATGTCTCGTAAGCGGCACGTACCAGATTAACGAACCAATCCAGGACGACAGATGCGCTGTTCGACACTTGGAGGAAGGCAAGAAGTGCAATCAGCATGACCACTGAGACACAGTAAATCGGTACACCCCGCTTGGTGCACCTAGTGAACAATCGTGGCGCCTTGCCATCCAGAGCAAGCCCGTACAGACTTCTGCTGGCGCAATAAACATAACTATTCCCAGCACTGAAAGCTGCCAGGAGGATCATGGCGTTGACAATGTGCGGGAGGATAGGGATCCCGAGTCTGTCCATCGCGATAACATAAGGCGACGCAGCGGCGCCAGGCAGGCCTTTGGCGAAGGCTTCGGCCATAGTAGGATCATTGTAGGGGACGAGAATGCCGATACAAAGTACACCCAGAACGAAAAAGGCCGTGAGTCGATAGAATATACCGTTATACGTCCTGGGCAAGACTCCGCGAGGGTTGACTGCCTCTCCAGCTGCCATCGACACATAATCGGGCCCTGCAATGGTGAAACTGGCCTGGATCAGACATGCAAGGAAACCAAGCCATCGGCCAAGATCACCCGTCTTGTAATATTCCGCAAAGGCGCCCGGCTCGTTCCAGTATCGGAACCCGAATCGATCTCCCTTCGGGTTCCCGCCCAGCATCACAATGAATGTGAAAATAATCAATCCAATGCTGAGCAACACCTTCGAGAGAGCAAGCCAAAACTCTGATTCGCCATACCATTGCACTGCAAAGACGTTGAGAAGTCTATCATGCTAGGAGTCAACATTCAGGCGATTCAAGATGGACAAGGGGCTTCGTCGTCCAGAAGCTGTTACGCACATGTAAAGGACAAGTACGATGACGATCACTCCGCTTACTGGAATAACGTCGCTCCAGTAGTTTATGATCATATTACACGCGGTGATCTCAAAGGGCACCAGGGCAGCCTCAAAGATGAAGAAGTTGTAGCCGGCGGCAACTCCAAAGGCTTCATCGACATAGCGGCCGGCAAATCGAATAAAGGGCGATGAAATTGGCAGGTAGGTGACCATCTCAGCCAGACCTAGGATGCAACCTGTATTTTAGCATAGACTACATAACCAAGGTTCGTAGTGTAGAATAGCCAGGGAGTCGCATGGGCAGCATGCAGGAAAACGGGAGATTGTCGCTTCAGGGCACTCAATGGTACGAATGAGGAAAGCTGCATCTGGAGCGCAGGTTGCAGGCGGCATTGCTGGGGAGAGCAATTTGGGGGCTTGAGGACCGGGGTGCGTACAAACAGTAATGGCCAGGATGACGAAACACCTAGAAGTAGATATGTATAAGATTCCATGGCTTGATAAAAGGGCAGTCAAGTAAGACGCGCGTGCGAAGTACGACACTGTTCTGCATCAAACGCAATTGCAGATCCTTGGGCTCTTCGTCGCACTCAAGATCAATCCGTTGCGACATCTCTGGTGTGGACTCGCGCAAAATAAGTGTATCATGCTCTCCTCTCTAGCCGTGAGCTCACCCAGCGGAGACACCTCAAGGCTGAGACCGCAACAACAAAAAGAGGCAAATAAAACGAAAAGAGCTTATCAAATTGGGCATCTAGTGAAGTACTTACCAAATCGAAAATGCCAGGAACAGACTACCAGGGCCACCCTTCATCAGACTTTTACCGACCTGGACATAGAGCGCTGTGCCAATCGTGCCCCCAATACCGATAAGCTGAATATGTCTGGGCTTCAGCTTCCGGTGTGTATGATCATAAGTGGGCTTCGACGATGTGCCTCCTATTGATTCTCCACTATCCTCGACAACAGTAGTCTTCTCTGAGTAAGTTGTAGGAGGGCCATTTCTCTTTGTCGAACTGGCTGTGGCCAAACCGACGTCGTCGGCCCGCTGGGAAGATCTATCATTGCTGATAGCCGTCGGCAATGATGTCTGATGGACACTCGTGTCTGGATCAGGCCTCAACATGATTCACGACAAGTGACAAGGTTTTGTCTCATTGACACATCCCAAACACAGAGGAGATCCGAAGAGGGCGATGTAATGTGCAATTTGTAGGACAGGAGGAAAAGGTGATCGAAGAAGCCAAGAAGGAAAAAAAGACGGAAAAAAGAAAAATTAAATTCAAGGGAGAGTAAGAAAAGCAAGACTAACGCATTGAGCAGATAGAGTAAAAGCCCATGCGAGATTAAAATGCGGGACACTTTGAAGTTGCTAAATCAGCTAGGCCAAAGCCGGCATCAAGTAGTATCACCAACAACCACAACGAAAGTGATTCAGCTCGGCCAGTTTCTCGCCCAATGAAAGACCGGGAGCCTTTTACTATTGTTGCGTCTGCCATTGTAGTAAGACCAATAAGGATTGGATCAGTATTGATGGCAGCAGAAACATCGTCTGGACAAGATGGTCTGAAGCCACCCTTAGGACTCCATAAGTCCCCACAGATGTAGTCCCCATAGAAATCGACGCGTCTGATATTGGAGATACCCATAGACATTTTCGGTCCATCCATACATCAGGACAGCAGGAAGAATTTCAGCATTTCTCTCACTCTCTCTCCGCCTGAGCTCAACAATGCCGAGCATAGGAGCAGGACGGAGTGGCCGTTAGTAACTCTTGGAAAGTCATGGCAGAGGCGAACAGAGGGATGGAGCGCAATGGAGGAAAATCGTCGAGACACGGTTATATCGATGGAGGGCATGGGGCGCAACAAGGAAACTGTGCCTGTTTGGGCTAGTAAACATGGCTAGGAGGCTGAGATTAGTTTAGTCGATTTACTAGAGGTATATCAGAGCCGTGTGGGCCATCTCTTGGGGAGAAAGTCAACTTCAATTTTGCCGAGGTTCATGTGGGTTACAAAAGATGAAGAGGCAATGAAGAGTAGGACAAAGAACTAGATAATGATCATAGGTTTTCATGAAGATACCTGGGCACAGTACAGCGGATTCTGACCAAGAATGATAATTGTCTGAGCCCTGAAGCGAATAGCAACATTGACATGCGATGGCACGGTGGCTGACCGCAATTGCCTAAGGAATCAACTACCGGATTAGTCTCAGCCACTGCATCAGACCGTTCAAGACCTCAATTTCGACCTCAACATGAGAAGAACCTATGAAAACATGGTTACTTCCTCAAAAAAACGATGTTATTTTCATTAATTGATACTCGAAGCTGGTCACATAACATTTGTCTGCTTTTGGACACTGTGCTGATCAAGTACACGAAGAGTCCATTCTTCTCCCGCATTTAGAAAAAAAAGGCCAACATAGTCTCGCGATCTGAACATTATGCGAAGTCATAAATCATATCTCCAGTCTGATCGATGATCATCCAAGCCTGGTAAGTGTCGGAACAGAGAGAACGTAAACATCAGAGACAATGAGGTCCCCCACCAAAAAGCCACGACTCAGGTCTGCACAGACGAATCCACATATGGACCGTGACTCCGATCTTTTCCTTCTGGCGATGGCTTCTCTCCGAGTTCGCTAGGTGGGAAAAAGGAATCGTTGTCTTCGAAGTGGAGGTAGTGAGATAGGTCAGAGTCCACGGACGTCGTCCTACTGCGCCCTTGAGCGTCCGGGCCAGTTTCTGTAGATGACATGCGATTCGAGGGACGAGAAGGTGTTGTTTGAGAGGTTCTGGAAACAGTCTCTTGGCAAGAGGACATTTTGCTGATATTGCTTTTGAGAACGATGTCAAAATAATAGTATGATAGGTAAAAGCTTTGAGCTGAAGCTGATGATCTTCCGGATGCCATCGAAAGTTACTTGAGGTTTGCCCCGCATTGTATAAAGATGAAAGACAAGTGGACATCAGCCAATGTCTACTTCTCATATATATTAAGGTCATAACGTAAACACCACTCATCAATAAATACCTCTCTAGTTCAGATTAATGCAGCCCGCTAGTTGACGTCATCTGCGGAGGCAATGGGTGATAGTCTCTAAGTAAATCAAGGATGCTTGGATATACATTGACGGGAAATATAGTGGCGCTTTCATTGTTGCATGAAATGATTTAATTGTTTCTATTACTCTGGGAATTCTGCAAGGACGCTTCAAAGAGAATAGTATGTGAGGATTTTATCCAGGGAAGAAATGGCCAGGCTTCTGCAGGGGTCATCCGTATGGGAACTCACCCTCCGGTTTATAGTGTCTCCAAAGGAGGAACGGAATACCTCACCATCAGGAGCTCTACAAACGTATCAAAACGATGGAGTCATAGACACATCTACCTCAAGAGCGAGGGGGTAGATGGGTGCCAACGCAATCGCCTAGACCATCTAGATTCCTACTGCGTAACATATCAGAACTCCAGCCTAAGAGATAGCCGAGTCGGCGTGGACTCGTGTACCTCTTCAGGCGTCAGTCTGATGAGCTGAGACTCAATTGATTGATCTCCTTTGCTTCCACTGAATCCCAAAAAGAAGACTCGATTGAGCCCGGTGATGTACTGTCAACGATCGAATGCAGACAGCTCACTGTGACAAGACCAAGAAGCTTGATTCTGGTCCATTTACGGAGCACAGATTAAAGGTCTGCTGGAGTAAGCTGCGATGTTGTATGCAATAGCATGCGCTCCAAGGGTTTGTTGCTGCTCAAAGAGCCAATGAAAGGAGAAGCAAAAGACGACTCCCAACAATCTCACAGATGATGACGCCAGTTGCCGGGAAGATCCACGGTTATGCCGACCTCCGAGCTCCCCCGCCTGCCCCGCGTCCAAGTGAGCTCGTGGGCTAAACCAACAACTTTTCTTACTTCGATTACCTCCTTTCAATAATATACTCCCCACACTCGAATTCTCCAAGCATACACTCACAATGGTGGAACACGAGCCAGAACCCAAGCGCTTCGAACCCAAGGTCCCTGTTCAGCTGGATCCTCCAAAGGATGATCCGATCACAGTGGAGGAATTGTCCAAATGCGACGGTATGTGATTCCTAGGTTGGATTAGTTAATGATGGAAATCAACTTACTGATGCTTTTTTTGCAGGCACGGATTCCAGCCGGCCAACTCTCGTCGCGATCAAGGGAATTGTGTTTGATGTGAGCAAGAATCCTGCTTACGGTCCCAATGGCCAGTATCACGGTATGCCGATTTTTCCCTTTCCCATGTACTGCAAAATAATTACTGGCTTGGTCTGTACTTGGCGTTACTGATTCCTCTGTATAGTCTTCGCCGGAAAGGATCCTTCCCGGGCCCTTGCCTCCTCGTCTCTGAAGCCTGAGGATTGCAGGCCGGATTGGTATGATTTGGACGATAAGGAGAAGACGGTGCTGAGTGAATGGTTTACCTTCTTCAGCAAGAGATACAACATCGTCGGAAAGGTGAAGGATGCTACAAACTACTAGTGCGCCTGATGACAACCTACGGTCTGTAACGGCGCTGGGTTATGCTATTGTATGAAGGTACTATATACCCCATGAATTCATGAAATCCTACGCGATCTTTTCCATTGCCAAATCGGACAATATAACAAGTGCTTTTATTTTTGCGTCTCTCGCCAGAATGCACCCAAGTAACGCCGGGGAATAGAGGTAATTATAAGTAGAGCTCTATACAGTCACTTTGATCAACTAAGCCTTCCCTTTCCGAGCTTTCCGCTGCATCCTTTTCCTAGAAATGATCCGGTTGCGTTTGGCGATCTTGTTCTCGTCTTCCGCGTCGCGGTCTCCGTCCTGCTCTTTGCCGCCACCACCACTTTCGGATCGCTTCCGCTTCTTGCCATTTGGTAAAGCTTCGCTGTTCGGCTCATCTTTGCTCGGGGTATTTCCGTTGTTCTGTTGACTTTCTTTCTTGGCGCGTGCCCTGGCCTCCATCTCATTCCGTCGCTTAACAACCTGGGCGTTCTCAAGGGCGAACTCGACAATCAGTCGCTTCTTCTTATCTTTGATCTCCGCCGAGCCGCTCTTAGGAGCTTCCACAGCGTGGCCGTTAAGCCATCTTAGACCCATAAGCGCATGCCGATGTGTGTAGTACTCGATGAAACCGTAGCCCCGGCTTCGGCCTGCTCCGCTCTTCTCGCCGATCTTGCTTCCCTCTCGACTCTCAAAGACAATCTTGGTTTGCTTCACAATACCCTTGCCCTTTGACTTCCGGTACTCCTCTGCCTCTTTCATAGCGTCGGCTGACCGAGCGAGTTCCTCCTTGGAGAGAGGTTGACGTTGACCTTCCTTGACATCTTTCGCGAAGCCGACCACAGCCTGTCGAGCAAGCTGCTTGAGGTCCTTGGAGGTGACGTGACGGGGGATGTTGCGTACCGAGAGACGGGTCAAACTAAAATGTAGAGCCGGGTTCTTCCGGATGAAGTTCTGTCGTTGCTTGAAGCTGTCCTCTCTCATCTTGATCTCGGACGGCGAAAGCTTGTGGTACAGAGAGGAGTTGGGAGAGATAGTACCTTCTTGCAAGAGGAAAAGACGACGCTTGTCAGTATCACGAACCAGTCGTTTTGATACACCCTCCTCTTCAAGTTTGGCAGCTTGTGATTTGCTCACGGCGCGGGCGACCTGGAGGACACGACCATCCAAGGTATAGCGGCCGCTGGGGTCAGAATTCTCATTCTGCAGGATAGAGTGCTTGAGTGCGGTGGAAGACTTCTTTCCTTTGTCCTTCTCCGCGATCAAAGTATCTTGTTGTTTCGGGGCTTCGCGCACGCACAATGCGGCATCCTCAACCTTCCAGAAGCAAACAAAACCGGTACCACGGGGACGTTCTGTTTCCGGGTCGACGACAATTCGCGCGTATCGAAGGGGGCCAAATTGCGTAAAGTGCTCGTAAAGCGTCTCGTCTGTACACGTGAAGGGTAGATTTCGAATGAAAATCGTACAAGCATTTCGCTCGTCTTCTTTCTCTTGTCTTTCGTCTTCGTCGCCCTCGTACTCGTCCTCATCCATATCTTCCTCGTCCTCCTCGTCCTCCTCGTCGTCATCGTCCATATCCTCATCTTTATCGTCGTCATCAGACTCGGCATCTTCATTATCGGACGTCGCTTCTGCGTCATCTGCCATTTCAACGTCGCTCGATCCCGCTTCCTCCTGGGTATCCTCCTTCTTCTCAGACTCCTTCTTCAAGTTCTCCCATACTTCCTTTTCTACAGCCCAATCGACCGCCAGCGTTCTTCCGTCCACCTCTTTGCCGTTGACGGCCTGTAGCGCCTTTTCGGCATTCTTCTTTCCTCGCAAAACAACGAAGCCAAACCCGGCCAGCTGATCACCTTTCTTGGGAAGCGTGACATATTTGACTTTGCCGTAACTCCTGAAATGTACCGCTAGATCTTCTGGTTCTTTGATGCTCCAAGGCAAGTTTCGGACAATGAGCTTCGGGGTTGGGTGGATGTTTTCTGTTGCTCCCGCTGTTTCTTAAGTTCAAGGGCAGCAGGAGCTGGCACGCTTTTCCCGAGATTCTCATCAATCTCACGGTGACGCGGCTGAGCGTAGTCGACTCTGATTTTTTTCCCTTCGAAGACAGACCCGTTGAACTCCTTTAGCGCAGCTTGCGCGTCTTCGAGGTCAGCAAAGGTAACGAAACCATAACCCTTGCACAACTTCGTTTCCGGATCATTAACAACAATCGCATGCTTGATAACGTAGGATTGGGAGAAGTATTCGGTAAGGCTCTCGGTCGTAGCTGAGGTGGGAAGCGACCGAACGAAGAGGGTCCTTCTTGGCTGCGTGGAGGCTTTGTCGTCCTGGACGATATCTTTTCTCGGGGAGTCCATCGTAGTCTGTGTGTCTTGGTGACCACCACTACTTTCGTCCAGACTTCCTTTCTTGTGTTGTTCTGTCATGGCTGTTGAGATCGTCCACTTTTTTCTTCGGCCCTTTTTTTTTTGAGGCGGCAGAAAATTCCCAGCGTCAATATTTCCAGCAAAAAGCGGGTCCAGGCGGTGAGCACAGTTGGCCCAAACTTTGGCTGCTGCGATTAGATAGACCGAACCGAACCGATAACAGCACTCGGTTGATGCAAAAATGGCTAAGGACGTCGATAATGATAACGCTGATCCCGACTATGGCCTCCCCGAAAGGAGCGCCATCCCTCGGGCTGCACAGGACACCTCGAATTCAGCTACTGCTCAATCCACGGCCCCCAAGGTCCAGCAACCAAAACCGCAGGCGCTTGCCAACCGAACCGGTCCGTCCGCGATTCTTGTCTCGACCAGGCAAAAGGGCAACCCAATACTGAACCACATCAAATTGTTGCCTTGGGAGTACGCAGATATACCCGCCGACTATGTCATTGGAGCAACAGCATGTGCCCTGTTCTTATCGCTGAAATACCACCGGTTACATCCTGAATACATATACTCTCGGATAAAGGCTCTTGGGGGGAAATACATGCTCCGGATTATTTTGGTAATGGTCGATATCGAAAATCACGAAGATAGCCTGAAGGAACTCTCAAAGACCTCGATCATCAATAATTACACTCTGATGCTCTGCTGGTCGGCTCCGGAAGCAGCTCACTATCTCGAACTATACAAGTCGTCCGAAAACGCTCAACCGACCGCGATCCGCACCCAGCAAGCCCAGTCTTACAAGGAGTCTCTGGTGGAGTTTGTTACAACTCCTAGAAGTATCAACAAATCTGATGCAGCGAGTCTGATATCCACGTTCGGGAGTCTACAAAACGCTATCAACGCGCAGCCGGAACTGATCAGTGCTGTGCCCGGCTGGGGCGAAAAGAAAGTACGTCAATGGACCAATGCAGTGAGGGAGGACTTTCGGGTGGAAAATGCGAAGAAAGCGAAGGCACCTGAGAGGAACATTGAGCCTGAACAAAGATCTTCGGGCCTCGGCAATGTGAGCCAGACAGGGCCCGTAGATATGGATGATGATGATGATGAAGCAGCCTTGTACCTTTTGGAAGCGGAACAGAGGAGTCGGGTGGAGGCGAAAAGGGGAGCCTCAGAAGCCGACACTCCACAACAATCCAATCAAGAGGAAATGAGTGAAGGCATTAGCGCAGCCCTTGCGAGACTTCGGGGAAACGGAGGTTGAATATTTGATCGATGATTACTCTGATTGTCAATCGCGATATCATGGACGGCTCCACCATATAGCTTGATCTAGGAGACAGCAGGCTTCCAATCCGTCCCGCGAGGATGCTAGCAGCACAGTTTCGAAATTTACGGTGTTCAGTCTGCCTGACAGGAGAACACAGGTGAACTGCTGACAGGCTGGCCAACTCAGCGCACAGCGCTATCAGCCTGAAAAGCAGACCTCGCTCGACCGCTACGATGCGTTTACTTTCAATCATTTTCTCATAGCTCCCTGTCAGCTGCGCGTGCTAGAGAAAGCATCCCTTCTTGACCACGAATGGCGGGTCTTATGCGCGAGTCATGAAACCCAGATGGCTTGGGCCCCTAGGCTATCTGTCAGCGGGATGGGCCGACATAGTGTTGCGGAATCCAGGGCATTGGGAGACCGGTCAGCCAGTGAGAATCAATACCGAAGGCAGCGATCGTTAGTGCAGTTATGCACCTCGTATTTCATGATTCAAGAATCGCGTTTGATTATTTGATGATGGCCCGCGACCAGAGCAATCCGAACAAGAAGGCTTAAAGTAAATGACATTGAATGTGGCTAGCCGGGAAGTCTTGCGCGCATTAATGATAATTAGATTCAATTACTTCTAGACAGCCAGTCTGCTCCGGAAAACCGCTGGATATTGAGATTCCGTTGAGGCTAATCCCCGATTATATCATCACGTGATGATAGAGTGTGGGGCACTATAGCCCAAAAGGGAAATCGGGATGACGCCAAACATTGGAGTTGTGCAATTTCCCGTTGAACTGGTCTAGATCACCTCTATTCTTCAGAGGCACCAGCGAATTCAATGGACGCCCCAATGAAAGCCAGCGTGTAACGAAAGTTGCTTAAGTGTCCGAGGAGCGAGTCAGTGTTCTCCACTGACTAGCCGGACAATATCTTCCCCACTCTGTCGCTTATACGCTTGACCTATACTATCGTCCTACTCGCCCGGCCAAGACCGGATCATAGATGATGAGGGAGGAGGATAACACGAATGCATCTTCAAAAAGACAGCCCTATCAGGATGTGCCAATTTCAAATGAAGTCGGTCTTTCGCGGTCTTCTGGTCGGCATGCGGGGGATGTGACAGGATCGTCGACGAACCCGTCTCCTAGGGCGGTTCAGAACCCACAGTCCAAAAACTTCGAGATCGTCCTCGTTACAGATAACGAGTCACGGCGTCAGGTCCGCCGCCATGCAATGCGGCAGTATATGCGTCAGCGGCGCTTGGACAGCATTGCTCGACTGGAGACGCCTCGTTTGCCAATTGGTGGTTGGGTCAGCCGCCAGGTCCTATCGGAAGCTTCAACATCCAGCATTCCACCCTCTCCAGTTGAAGTCCCTATCAAAGACACTTCTGCGGAGGAGGAGAAATTATCTCCGGTAAAAGATGGGGAGCCATGCATCCCAGAAAGTGGGATAGGGCCACTGATGCCTTTGGCGTCGAGATCATCCGAAGTCAAAGCTGAAGAGCCGTCCTCTCCTTCCTTCCCTATCGTTAGCTATACACTATCAGATCCTCGTTCCAGCCCTGGTCACGGGGCCGTGGAGGATCCATTTAGCTGTTATCCAATCCCTGTTAGTCACTCCGACCATGAGTTAATTCAACACTGTAAGTTCTTCTTTGGAAGCCCGTGCTCCCATACAGATCACGCCGATCTTGATAGCAGAGCAAGAGGGCCGTCTGCCAGAACAATCTTGATCTCGTGTTGGCTGATGGCTTACACTGCAAAGTTAATGTGACATATCCATCCATGATGTATAAATTTGCCGATTCCGTCGCGAGCAACCCAATGATGGAGATTTTCCGCCAGATCGCGCTGCATGACAATCTTTCATTTCAGGCGATGCTTGCTATTGCCTCAAAACATCGAGCTGGAGTGGAAGGCAAGCCGGACTCTGTTCAGAGCCTGACTCATAAAATGCGGGCGCTTCGATTAATAAACGAGCGAATACAAACAGACTCCCAGGGTCTGCAGGACGGTACAATATACGCTGTAGCCACAATGGCAGTGATTGAGGTAACTAAAGTTCCCCTATGGTCTGGACTTTGCAAGTTGCTCATGCCGTCAAGAAATGGTCAAAGGATCCTTCTATTGAAAGGATGCACTGCATGGGACTAGCATCCATGGTTCGGAACCGCGGCGGGATGCGAGGCATGCGGGCTTCTAGTCCTTTTTTAGAGAAGGTTGTGTACTGGTAATGCTTCAGCCACAGTCCAATTGTAGCAGGCATGATCAGGCTGACTTGGCATAGGGTGGACATAAGCTGCGCACCCAAAGCAGTCTACACCTCATGTCTTCCATGGACCGGTGCCGTACCCGACACTTCTCCGGAGAGTCTTGACTTTCTTGCTCCTGATGTGCACCTCGCTATTCCCCACACACAGACAGCAGTGGAATCATCCGAGAGCCTATGCGATCAATATCGTGCTTGTGAGGATTTTCTGCGATTTTTCCGTTGTCTACATGAGTTGGAGAAGGCTGCGTTAGGGTTTCCTGGTAATGTCACCAGAAGCAGTGCAGCTCCTCGCATCAGACGCTTCACCCCGGGAACACCGCTCCATTCCATTCTGACTATGCTTCCCGATTACGACCACGGGATCCGGGATATCCGATTCATCGATGAATACACCTGTATGTCCTGTCTGTTCTTCCTGGCCGTCGCTCTCTACGATTCCTATCGCAACTCTACCAATTTTGACCGGTACCTCGACTGGCTGGACCTGGAAGTTCAAAAGCTCAATCCTTTCACCAACCCAAGCATCACATCTGTCCTCTGGATCTTTCTTAACAACGGCGGCTACCCGCAAGGAGAAGCAGGCGACGCCGGCGAAAGATGCTGGGTCGTGTCCCGCATGGTACGCATTGCCAAACGCCTCGAGTGGAAACGTCAGGGTACCATTTGGGACCGTCTCCGACAAGTCCTGATCAACTTTATCCTCGCCCAGCAGGAATGCGCCCTGGGTTCGGATAGTGTGGACGAAGAGGCGCTGATCACCCGGCAACAGAGACGCCTCCAACCAAGCGAGTATTTCTGGGACGAGGACGAAATGCGCGAGGAAATATTGGGATCGCAATCGTCGTCGATCCTGACGCCGTATCCTCAGTCGCAGACAACTATTGTGGTATAATCACATGCCCTTGATTCTTGGCCGATATCAGAAAGGCATGGAAATGTTTTCGGGAAAACAACTGCATATACCAAGAACACATTTACGACGTGATGATTGATGACATGTATTCCTATATTAACATGGAATCTGCTTCACTGTACATGATTGTACTATTGTACTTAGCAATCCCTTTGATGACAAGAATTGAAACCTCATGATACAAAATGTCAGAAGAATCCATCCAAGCGCATTGCCATCTCATTACTAGGTCTATCGTATATGCACATCAATCAGGTGGGTATTGGACTGTCTCTCTAGAACGTGAAACACAGAAGCAACGGCCATCCATCCATCCATCCCCATCCGGCACGTCATCGAAGAAAAAAAAAACAAGATCACCTTCCAGGGCAGACAGTCATCCATAAACGAGGAGGAAAGGTATAACAAACGATTAATCCTGCCGGACCTCCCCGTCAACAGTGGCATATCATAAGAAAATAAAAAGAAACCAATCGATCGATTCCCATGTATCGAACACATCGAGGTCTAACGAGAATGTAGAAAAGAATACTGCTGGGTATTGAGGGCTGCCTCCGCACTTCTCCCACTTTTTGCTTTTTTGGTAAATGAGTTCGAGGTAGTTCATTTTGATGCTGGAACATCGGCACAAATCATAATAACATTAAAAGAAGCACGAGCGCTGGACGGATCCCAGGCATGACATAGAAGGATTCTACGTCGGCTTGTCGCATCCGATCCTGCCAAGGAGGGCCTTGCGATCGCTCTGGTCGCCGAGTGGGATTCGGCCCCGCGCGCGAGGTCGCATGCCGGCTGAGCCGTTCGAGGCTCGTCGCCAGTCGGCATTCACCCCGTCCACACCGACTGCGTTGCTGTTGGGCGCGTCCTTGCCCGCAGACCGGACTTCCGCTTCCTCTTCGTCGTCGCTTCGAGTGTCCTCAGCATTTCCGGTTCGGAGCACGTTCACGGCCACGCGGACAACCATCACAAACCATATGAGAGAGAGCAATTGTAACGCCAGAAGAAAACCAAGGAAAATCCACTTGACGGTGCGATTCATGCAGATGGGGCTATTGATGTCCAAGAACGGGTTAAAGAGGTAGCGGAATCGGTTCGGGTATCCGTCGGCGGAGATCATCTCCGCGGTGGTACCGGAGTAGCAGCCGTAGGCCATTGCATCAGGGACATCCTTGTAGATAGACCAGCAGAGTAGAGGGTAGAAAATGTGACGCGTAATCAACCAGGTCACCATGAACAGACCGAAGGTGATGTTGCAGCCGAGCTCGAACTTGAAGTACTTGAGAATCTTGGCAGTCTGTCGCACAAATGTCAGCTCGGCCAGTTTTTGGAGGGGAGATGGATCTCATGGCATACCGGCAGCAACAGGTCGACAATGTCCATCAGACACAGGACAACATTCGAAACGTTATAAAAACCGTAGATATAGGCAGAGGTCAGGAGAGTGCTGGTGAGGATGTGGTGAGTCAACATCTGGTAGTGATCCTTTCGCCTTTCTTCCATGTTGATAACCAGGATCTGCTGAAACCAGAATGACAGCTGCGCCAGGAGGTACCACTTCAGGTTTGCAGAGACACCCCTCGCGGGCCATTGAGCCCAAATGGCCTTGAAATCCATCCAGTAATAGGAGTTTGTCCAGATATACTACATCCTGCATGTCAGTCTAACCGTTCAGAGAGGCAATGGATGCGGCGAGACAAACCATTCCAAACGTCCAGAAGAACGCGTAGTACATCCACATCCACGCCTGCTCGGCAAACCGATTCGAAGCCTTCCGCTTCAATCCCGCATATCTGGCAGCTGGTCGGAAGATCCATTCAATGGCAATCGCTCGGACGGCGGTGAAGGTGATGGCGGAGCTGATAACAAAGTACACATCGTCAAATCCTTGGACATAGACCCCTTCGGAAGGCTGGTAGTGCGACAATTGGAAGAACGGCGCCGTGTATGGTCGGAGGGTGGGGTAGAGGTTATGAGCAGCCAAAAGCGTGCCAAGCATAGTCAGTGAGACTCCTAAATACGCATACAGAGCAACGGTCAGCCATTGAGTCCAATTCTGTCACAATGACGATCGAGCGCATGCGCTGGGTTCCCCCGGCGCAGAACCAGGTTAAGCGATCGATTGGAGCAGTGTGAACCCATCAATAGACTCCAACCCAAAACAAATTGGAGATTAGACGCATACCGATTTGATTCGCGTCCATCCATTCTCGAAAGGTCGCTTCTTTGGCAACAGTTCGGTGACCGGTGGACACACAAGTGTTAAGCTCCGAGACGGATTGCGATTGCGTGGACTCGTCTTTTGCCATGACGGCGGTTTCGTGGTCCCGAAGATCTAGGGGTCACTGATGCTGGAAGGAGCAGCAACAGTAACCGTGTCTGCGAAGAAAATTCCAAAAAGTCAATCGCTGCCACCAAGAGAATGAGTATAACGGACGAAAGTTTCGCAGATAGGTTGGTCGGATAAAAGAGAGTACCTAGAACTGCTCCGGATGTCCCTTGGAATAGCTACTTGACAACTACCAGACTTCTGTGCCTTTCTGCCACTGGGACCCGCTGTTCCGCAGCGGGTACCTGTTGGGGGAAAAAGAGAAACGGCTGAGATGAGGGACGGTGTCCTTTCTTGGTGCCAATGGCAGACACACAGAAAAGAGTAGATCAAATAGTGCGTTCGTAGAGATGGTGTCAGTGACAGGTGTCAATGGCAGTGAAAGACAGAGATTGGAAAACAACCTAAGGAAAAGTCGACCCCCCTCTGTTGAAACCCTAGAGGTAGACTTAGCCTTTCGTAGCTATCCCATTGTCCTTGGAGAAGAGGAAGTGGTAAATGGTATCCGTAGTACGTATGTTGGTGGGCACATGGAAACGGTGGAACGTAATTTATTACGCCAATGAAACACAGGATAAAGAGGGGATTGTTTCGAATTATCCAGACAATCCACAGGGGAACCCCACAATATGGCTTTTTCAGACTCTTATAGACGCGTACTTGGATCTTGCTATTTGCACTACGTTTCCACTGTGCATCATGTACCCTACACTCCTCCCACTCACGTAAGGTAGGTATGTACGCACGATAGGTACTTTCAGGTTGATCATACACAGCTCAGGTTGTATACTCCGTAATACATCAACGATCAGGCTCACCGCCCATCAACAAAAAGCCCTGGACCCTTTCCCTTACAGGTACCTTACCTGCCTTGGTCTGAATAGAGTTCCCGGCCTCCGCATTGCTGTCCCGCATCTCTCGCCTTTTCCCCAATCGCAGCAGCCGAATACTTCACACCCTCTATCCAGAGGTTGTCCCGCATCGACTACTTTTGCAGCTAATGTATGCTTCCTGGTCGTCTGATCATTGAGTCCCTCATGCGATCAGATCGTCCCAGACATACATACTAAACGATCAAACGGATCAAACGGATCAGAATAACGGATCATTTCGATGAAGTATGTAGTTGATTGTGATATACGGTACACCAACGATGAGCATAGATTAAACCCTTGGCGCATCGACTACCTTGGTGTAGTTGATTACCTCTCCGGGGGATCAACCTCATCTAAGCCTGCCGTGACGCCATTGACATATTCAGCCGCACTGACACCCAGCTTGGCCAAATCTACTCCTCCTTGTCCCGCCATCGCCCTGGACATGGCTCGCACCACTTCCTCTTCCTCCCAGATACTGCTCGGAGCCATTGAAGCATCGCCACCAGTGTTCCCGGCGCCCATCGTGACAACAGTCCGCCAATACGCATCATCCCGGTCCTTCAAGACCTTATCTCTAACCACGGCATTCCGCGTCACGCTCACAGCGTGCAGCTTTGAGCTAGCTCCAGCCAACGACGTTAGAGAAGTCGAGACCAGGTGGTCGACTTGGTCGGCCTGCGAGGGAGGCGCGAAGAAGAATCGGTTCGTGGCGGTTACATAGATTAGCAGGGCGCAGATCCCGTCAAAGATCGCAAAGACCAGCGGACGGAGCAGGGTGATTTGGTGGTACGAGCTCGAAGGCGGCGCCATGCCCGCTCGCACAGCAGTCGAGGCAGACTGGACGGGGTCGTATGTTGAGACAATGTAGATGTCGATGGCGGCCAAAGCCAGCCCGGCGATAGTGAACTTGTTGCGCCAGCTGGCGGCTTCCCGGCCGGCAAAGGGTGCCGAGGTCACCAAGCCCACGAGCACCATATGCAAGAGATGCGGGACCAATGTGTTGAAGGGGAGGTAGTAGAGGAGGTATGTTTTCAGGTTGTCGAGCGAGCAATACTCGCAGGACGTCAATGCATCGGGTCCGTAGCGCAGGTACACCCGCCGCGCCACCACAGAGGTGAACTTGGATCGCAGCAAATGGTCTGTCTCGCTCAAGGTATTGTCAGGCCGGAACCGTGCCAGCCTGCTAAAAATGACATCGGTCGGGGTGTTGATGCGCGATCGCGTCAGGGTAAATATACTTGGAGGAGGAGCATGAGGGTTGAACGGGAGGCTGAGGAGGAAACACAGCAAGATGGCGAAGAAGAGGACGTTGAGGGCGCGGCGGGTAGCCTGAGGGAGGGGACGAGGTGTGGGACGTGATGCTATAGCAACTCGGAGACTGCGGTAGAAGTTGATGGCCCGAGGAATGATGACGGGGCGAAGAAGATCAATAAAGACTTGATGCTGTGAAGTGGTCAGACCATGAGAAACTTGATGTCAGACGAAATTCAGACACCTACGTCGCGAACGATATCCCGAGTTCAACCATCTTGCCCGTCAATTTATTTCAACCACCTGGCTGCCACATGTCCTTGAGACGGATGATGACAGCTAAGTGGATGAGGCTGATGGCCATATTGCTGATCTTATCGCTGATGCCAAGAGGCGCTTAACCGTTGACCAATCAAAGGTCATTTGTATAGTTCTTTTGATTTGACACGACACAGACTCATTGTGGCCAGTTGACTTTGATAATTAAAATGCCTACAGAAATACGACATAGAACAAATTCTCAATAAAATCATGGGAGTGCAGCCAGTAATGCCAACCTCTGTAAAGAAAGAATTTTCTCAGTCAGTGAACGCCCTCGCTAATATACCCTTGGGACAATAACCCGTTTAAACGCCCCCTCACCACAAAAGTGGCTAAGGCCTAGACCTGCGAAGAATACATTGCCGGATGATGAGACAGGTCTGGAATGGTCACACCCGCTGAGTCTCGCGAGTATTTGGATGACGCGGCATCGTTCAGGTTCATTGGCGGGGATATCTTCAATGGAAAGCGAGTCATGCTCCGCATGGAGGCCTGCCTCCTCACAGGTGAATGCGAAGGAGTATATGTTGGAAGTGAGTCCTCTCGCTTTATACCGAGTTTGAACGATCGCTGGGAACTTGCTCGTGTGACGACTTTCTGAGGCGCTACCGCCCCGTAGACTCGTACATGACGTGCAGTGACCCCAGCGGCGCGGTCTGAGAAAATGAAGCTCTAAAGTAATCAACAGAGTTAGCATTTCGCTTCCTAGGCCCTGAAAAGATAAGATTTACTTACCGACACCAAATTGATGACACTCATGACCATAGCCAGAATACCTGCGGATACCACAATCCTCCAGAACGCAAGGCCAAGTGATTCCTGACTCGTGGCTGGCGTGTTCAGATCGCCCAAGATCCCCATTCCAAGTATAAGCATTGCCACAGCCAGTGTGACGAAGCCGGAATCTTGGCCTAGCAAAGGCCAATTGCGGTCGAAGTAGCCGCGGAAGAAGGGCAATTCTGATAGTATAAGAAAGACTGTCGTGCGTCAGTATCCTTGTCATGTCCATGCTTCACCATAGCCGGGGGACCACTTACTGCTGATTCCTGCACCCATGACATGGGAAACGGCTTGGAAGAAGAAAAAGCTGCTCAAAAGAGAGATCTTCACTATCATCACAATACTGGCAGCGATGATATCCAGGAAGACGATGATATTGAGTACCCGTATGGCATTCAAGATCACAAAACCTGGACCAGCCATGGACTCTTTCAATGAAGCCATCATAATCAAAGTTTGTGTTATCGCAAGCGAAAGCACAGTTCTGCACGACAAGACGCCACTACCAAATGATCATGCAAGAATATTGAGGACTCGGATCGAGTTAAGATGCGTTTTCAAATGATGCTACGAGAGACAGTAGAAGAAAAATGGAGAAATGAAAGTAGAGGCACAGGAACTGACCAGCAGGACTGTGTTGGCTCAGAGACTGAAGGAGAGAGAAGGAGAGAAAGAGCAGACTGGCGAGGTCTACTCGAGGGTTAAAGAAAGAGCAAAAGAGTGAACAATGAGGCGATAAAAGATAAGAGCCCTATTGAACCAGCATTATTCAGGTTCTTTCCTTTGGGCTCTAGCGCCAGACAATACCGGTTCTTTCAGAATAGGTAGCGAGGCCTGAGTGAATGCAGAAAGACAAAGGTTGCTGACAATGGGCATGGATTCTGAATCTGAAACACAACCTGATGGACATTGAGAATCAAGCCATCATTCATGCCATGAACAATGGTGATGTCTTCAGAAATGGCATAGACAGTTGAACACTGATCCAAAAATAATTCTGCTCCTCGAATTGCGGCTAATCCTTACAACCACTCTGCAGAGCGCCGTCTAGGAAGTACGGTCCATCACAGTTGACCCTGCTCGAACTGAAATTAGCCTTCTTTGTATGCTACTGTTCCCAAGCCTGTATTTTCTCAGGCGTCAAGCTCGGTCACAAGTCCTCATTGCGAAAGCAAAGCGAGTAGCTATCACTGCGAGATTGTCAACCAGCCTGAAACAACCGTCTCATTCGCTTGCCTTGCTACATCTGACGGTTGGCTGTCGTTCAACTATTTTTGCTTCAAGCGACGTTAAATAGACCTCACTGGGCTCCAATGATCCTCTCCCGACCCTCGGATCGCAAACGAGATACTTAGTCTCAAATCGGGCGCTTACTCCTGTAAGGACCCGCGGGAACTTGGTATATGTCAAGAATCAGTGTCCTATAGGCCCGCGAATTGACAAGATTAGGCGCCTGTGAAGGCTATATGGTTTCGCGACGCCAAATACTCCATTGGGATTTCGGGAAGAAACTATCTTGCGAGGCTGAGATCAGAGCTCACCAGCGGACTTAGGACTCACTTCCCTGCGCAATTGATGACATCGGCCTCGGTAGAGTGGACGCAGGATACATCTACGACACTACGTACCACACTGCACCCCGGTCATTTGCATCTGCCGTCCTCGACCAATTAGCCAACTAGTCCAGCCGCCGAGATACTAGCGCTTCTATAGCATTCAAAACGCGAGCGCGATAAGTGCGACTGTCATGGTAACCCAAGATCATGTCCCGAGCATGACTCTTTCCTTGAGGTTCACGCTGCACAGGATGCGGAAGCAAGTGCACAATCTCTTGGCCGGCAGAGTTGGCATAGGAGTATTGTATGAAGCAATAAGTGTTGCATGGCATGATCCATCATAGAAGAATTCGATTTCAATATATTAGATTGAAATATCAACCACCTCTCTCCTTTGTTTTAGATGTTGCTTCGAATCTGTGGTATTGGCATTTCTGTGTTGATGTGTTGATACTGCATTGGTCAAAATGCTTATCTCGTCACCTTGCGATAGTTCACAGAAGACAATCGCTCTAATTGCTTGTTACTAACTCATTCCCAAGGCAATAGATGCAAAATGTGTCATATTATTATGTGTTGGATCAATCTGATTCCCCTGGTGTCGTGGTATGGGGCAAATTATGGAAAAGCCGGGATTCGGGGGCTCGGCGGAGTATAAAAGGAAAGCCATGGATACAGACAGAAACTTCACTTAACGGCCTGGAACTTTGCTCTCTTCTCACCTTGACTCCTTGCCAAGTTTGGAGCTCGATATACAAAATATTGCTCCTCTCCATTTCTGATTGCAAGGACAACTCAGAACACCTCAGTAGTCAAAATGACTCGCGGAAACCAGAGAGACAGAGACCGTGAGAAGGCTCTCAAGGCCAAGGCCAAGCAGGTCAGTTTTCGTCCCGGCAACCGTCCCACAGGTCTCACAGCAAGATGTCAATTTACAAATTCTCCTTGGATGTAGAACACACTTGCTAATCACCTCTCATGTCTATAGAAGGCCGCAAATAACTTGAGTGGCACCGAGTTCCAGCGCGCAAAGGAAAACCACGCTGCAATTATGCGCGCAAAACAGGCAGCGGGTAAGCGCCCCCAGGAGCTTTACGCCTGGTGTAATAGAGCTTGAATGTGCTAACGCATTTCGCCTTTCTCTACAGCTGACGCGAAAAAGGCAGCCGAAGCAGCGGCAGGGAAAAAGAAGTAACGACCCATTACGGGATTCGTCAGCAGCTTTTTCACCGGCAATTCCGATCTCAGCCGCGCTGCTTTCCCATCATTATCAACCCTTCGGCCGTCATGCTCCGGTTCGGTGCATAATATCACTTCCGCAACCTCATAGGACCCTCAGACCTTGGCTACGTGGCCAAGTTTTGTTGCACGGATCGCTACCCTGGATGAACGAGGTGGCTAAATCATATTTTGTCAGAGGAACGGAGGTTGGCTATAAGCCCCTCTGGTTGCCGTGCCGTGGGTTGACGGGGTATTTTGGAGTCGTTGGCGCGTTTTACTCGTTTACTAGAGCATTTTTACAATTAGCGAGGCGTTTCTTTCAGAATATGGCGTTCAGTCTACGTTGTAAATTCGACCGATACTGGATCATTCTACTAGGAGGATATGAGGTCCATGACGACCGGGGACCAAACTAATTACTCGTTTGCTACCAGACATGACCAGGCTTCTCGATCGACCGTTACAGTTCTGCTGTTATGCTGCCAGTTCGCCGCTCGACCAACATGCCTTTGCCCTGGCCATCCATGTCTTCCACGATTCCTTCGACTCGCTTTTGGCAGTGTGAGCCAGCGTATCCATCGCGACGAGGCGAGTCTGTGTTGCCTCCTCCCGTCCACATAGCTGACACCAGACAGTTTCCACCACATCAAATCTCGTAGTAGCCAGGTGTACAAACGTCCAAAGACTCTCGCCTTCCCAGCGGACGTGCACTCCAAACTTGACGGCTTTGTTGATGATAGCCAGAAGTGTTTCTCTGTACGAAATACTTTCCAGCAAATAGAGCAGAAACATCCAGCCAGATATATCGGCTGGATGAGCGAGGCACCAATCCAGAGTCTTTTCAGTGATGAGCAAAGCCAATCGGGCGGAGCTATCTGCTCTGTGCTCAATTTCGTTTAGTGTGTCAGTCAAGGCCACATGAAGCCGGCGCATATAGCTGAAAGCATAGTAATTCTTGGGATGGAGCTCCCCTGCGCGAAGCACAACGGCAAACTCGGCCTGGAACATTTCCTGGAACTTTGCCGCGGCAGCTCGCGATAGTTGAACTGTCGGGCCTGGCCGCTGGAGTGCAGCCATCTGGTTCAAGATCCATAGACGGTGTTGCCAAAGAGTTGGAGACTTGGTGTTCCGATGTAGAGGAGAACATAGAAAGGTCGTCATGAGAGAGCGTTCTGTTTCCAGGGCGTGGATCAGGCTCTCGCGGCCAGCTTTGTCCGTACTGTGAAGATCCTGGCCCTTGATCAAGGCATCTAGCAGCCTTTTCCGCCAGTTGCATGCCGTGGTATGTTCACAGTCGAAAAGCAGGATGATCTCAGATGCAATCGACGCTTCCTCTTGTGTAATTGCATCTGGGCACTCCATTCCCGGGGCATCGAGGTCGGGCATAGAGCCCAAATGCTTGAAGAAGATACATCTGGCGGTCACAAAGGCCTGTACCAAATATTTCTTGGTGATGCCTATCGAACACCCATCTTGAAGGAGTGGGCCAACCTGCGGCGGCAGAATCTCAATTTCAAGAATGCGACTGTCTCTGCTTCTGAAAATCTGAGCAAGTTTCTGGTACGCATTTTCTGTAGTAGACATTTGGTTGTCCCTGTTATCTAGACCACATTGGCAGTGCAAATTTCAGAAGCTCCGTCTATCCATCGTGTTGTATGGCATGGCAATAGAGTCGGGCTATTGATTGTTATCGTTTGTTTAGTGGTACCGCCAACAGGCAGAACGCACAGATCGATGCCACCTTGACAACGTCATTTCGATCACGAACCCTCCTCCATCAGCCTCATGCGGTTCTAAAATCGTGTTTATCTCCTACGGGTCCTGAATTTCTGGCACAGCTTTAAAAAACTTGCGCAGCATAGTTTCTGCAAGTTGGATCGTGGCTCTTTTACCCCGGCCTCGATACCTCATTGCGAACCTCCGACAATTCTTACCTTCCGAGACGGCCATATCTCACACGCAACAAGATGCTATCGCTCATTCTGACGATATTCTTTGTCCACGTCGCCATATATCTGGTGAATACTGTCGGCGCAACCACAATTGATACTCTGGTATGTTCCTGCTTAGTGCACCACCGGCAGCTTGCCACTCCCCCAGACCGAGCGATCAACCATTCTAACTGACATGTTCTGCAGCTATGGATTCTATACCTCAAGCTCCCTACATCGACGTCGAAGAATGCCCGCGAGCAGAGCCGACTGAAGCGCGAAGTCGTCCAGCTCAAGCGCGAGATGAACAACACGAGCTCGCAAGATGAGTTTGCCAAGTGGGCTAAGCTGAGAAGGAAGCATGACAAAGCTATGGATGAATATGAGGCAATGAGTGCGTACCCTGCTCTTTTTTACGCTGAAATACTACGCTCCTCACTTCACATTGTCCAGGTTCAGGTCCAGCTGATTGATCGTTTTTGAAAACAGACAAGAAACTCACGGCTCAGAAAACCTCGTTCGACTGGAGCGTCAAGATCGCTCGGTGGCTCAGCACCAACGGTCTCAAGATCTTCCTTCAGTTTTACTACTCTAAGACTCCTGTCTTTGCGCTTCCGGCAGGCTGGTTTCCCTCCTACGTTGAATGGGTTCTGTCATTCCCCGCGCACCTCGCGGATCGGTGAGCGTCCAAGTTTGGAATAGTGTCTGCGCGACAGCGATTGCCGTCACGGCAGAGATTGTTACTTCTATGTTGCTGCAGTTGAGAAGCCGGACTGCAACCCCGGCTTCAACAGCGAAGGCTCAAAAGGCACAATGAATAGAATGAATGTCTACCATGTTATATATTACGCTTTACGGAAAATGTAGACCAAAGACGTATGAGAGTGATTTCATTGTTTTAATTCTTTCCTAATTATATTATAAGATGGAGTTAGGAAGTCACATAAGAGGTAACATGTTCGTCAGATATGAAAGCAATCGTTTATCGTCACAACCCCATGCCGTAGCAGGAGTATCAGGGCTTGACTCTATGATTGGTATATCATCATACGAACGCAATGTGCATGTCAACGAGAAAGACAGAAACATAAAACAAAAAATGGGAGAAAAACGAGTCTGGCCCCTTCGACAGGGCTTCTGTGACCTTAGATCCAGCCACCGCTTTGCAATAAGCTACAGACCCAAAAGTAAAGAGCGATGAACTCCTCGCCTCAAGAATGAGCCCCATTGAGTTACCCGGTCCTCCCAAAAAGGAGAATCAGGGCAATCGCATGACTATCCAAACACGACGAAAGGCAACCCAATGAAACAACCCCTCTCCGACACCCCGCTATACCACCATTGTTTCCACCGCGAAGGGGCGTCGGATATAGACATGGGCACCGGGAGGGAGTAGGGCAGTCAGCCGCTATCAAATTGCTTCTATGGCGGCGCGTTTCCGCATTGCCTGCCACGGATCCAAAGGATCGGGCAGGGTGTCCGGGGACTTTCTCCCAAAGCTAGGTTCCTCTGGTAAGAGGAAGGAGAATACCGGGTAGATATTCTGTGTGTGAGCTTTGAATGCGATTCTTTGAGCGAGGAGTTGAGGAAAGAAGAAACAGAGTTGACAGGAAAAAAGTTTCGGTTTTTTAATACTCGGTTTGACCCGCTGGTAGAGCCTAGTCTGTTTGAGGATTAGCGTATCACGTGATATAGCTCGATGTCCACCAATCACGTTGTGTTTGCGCTAGGTATCAGGTCTCACAAACTCCATACCTTTGGAATAGCTATGCAGTGCGCATGGATAGCAGAGATTAGAAGTAAGATGGGTTTGGATATATATTTAGCATCATGGCTATCAGTGATAAAGTCTTATGAGATTCTACTTGAAGCCGAGCAGGCTAGAGCGGTTACAGCAACTCTTGTCACAGACATATACATTCAACAGTTTATCCCAAACAATAGCAAACCCTTTTGTGCTAACAAGATACAGAGAACACGGAAACAATAGCCCTAAGCCTTTGCCTTCTTAGCCTTCTTGTCCTTGGCCCCAGCCTTTGTAGCCGGTGAAGCGGCGGCTCCATTTACTCCCTTTTTCGCCGACGCCTTTTCGCCATCGTGCTTGGGTGTTCCCTGCTTAGGAGTCGATTGGCTTCCCTTCTTCTCCTTCTTAGACTTCTTAGGAGTCTCGTCCACGGTGGTCTCCTTGGACTCCTGGGCCGCGGGTGCCTCGATAGCCTTCACGGGCTCATCGGCAGTCGCATCGGCAGCTTCAATCGCCTTGGTTTCTTCTTGGACAGGAACTTCGTCGACGCTCTTCAGCTGGGGAAGCTCATACTCATAACCCAGAGCCTTCAGCTTCTCGGCCTTTGCAAGTCGTCTCTTCTGTTCCCGCTCAATGCGCTCCGACCATTGTTCCCTCGTCTTGCCCTTCTCCAGCCTCTTCTTCTCGATGCGGTTCCACGGGGTGCGCTTGAATCGTCTGTTGGCACCCTTCCAAACCTCCGGGTGCAGTTGATCGGAGGGGACGTATTTGCATTTCAGGATATGGCCATACATCAGGTAGTTATCCATAGTCTCCGCGACAATCTTGGCAACAGTGTTCGAGGCGAACTCCACGAAAGCGTAGTGCTTTGAGCGACCGGTGATGCGGTTACGGGAGAGACGCAGGCGAGTAATTTCGCCGAATTGGGAGAAGTAAGCGCGCATCTGATGTTCGTAGAAACCATGGGGAATACGTCTGTGGAAAGGAGATGGTAAGACTTTGTCACGGAGGAAACAGCAACGAAAAAAAAGACTGCAGAACTTACCCAATATAAACCGTTCCGGGAGCTTGGGGCTCACCGTGCTTCTTTTGCTTCTTCAAGATCTTGCGCTTCGCCTTCTTGGAATCGGGGATCTTGGGAACCGGCTGGTCAGGGTCAAATCCTTCGTCTCCGGATTCGTCCTCATCGCCGCTGCTCTCAAAGCCCTTGATCAAAGCGGCGGTCTGATCGTCTAGCGTATCAACTTCCTCGTCTTCAGAGCTCTCATCGGAGACAACAGGGACCTGCTCGTTATCCTCATCGTCCGACTCTTCGACGACAGGCTCAGGCTTCTTCGCCTTGGGCTTCGCAGCAGCAGCACTTGGCTTGGCTTTTGTAGCGGGCGCAGGGGTGCCGTCTTCCTTCTTCGACTTCTTCTTGCTGGGCTGCTTCTTCTCCTCTGTATCGGCCTTCGGTTCGGACGCAACAACTTCCGGCTCGCTCTCGTCGTCGCTGAGGAAATCCGCCGCACGCTTGCGAGGCTTGACTTGTCTTGCTGGCTCGCCATTGAGCTTCACTTTGGAAGCGGACTTTTGCTCTGTAGCAGCGGCATCCTTCTTGTTCTTCTTCAGAATAGACTTGGGGGTTTCTTTGGGGGCTTCGCTAGGCTTGGCCTCGACCTTCTTGGTCTTCTTTGCGGGCGAGTCGGCGGCTACTGTGGTGGCAGCTGTATGGTGTTAGAAAACAGGCAATAACAGAAAACCATGATAGAGAATGGACCTACCCTTGCGCTTCTTATCCTTCTTATCGGGCGCCATGTTTCTGGATGGTGTGCGTTGTATGCTAGGTTGAAGCAGCGCAATCTGAAGCCTACCAAAAAAGGTGCGGGAAACTTTTTTTTTTGGGTCTCCCATTTTTTCTCCGACGGGTCGACCGCCAAGCGGTGAGTTTGGTCTCCGCAGGCACCACAGCGGGATTCATCGACACAAGAACCAGTAACTGATCATCTACATAACTACAACTTGCTCATAAAATGGGGAAAGCCAAGAATGCGAATAGGCCTCTGACACAAGAAGAAATATGGGACGATTCCGCCCTCGTTCAAAGCTGGGATGAAGCGGTCGAAGAGTACAAGGTACGTCTCCTGTACCTCGCACGTGACTTGTATCTAACGCAGTGGCAACAGTTGTATCACAGCATCCATGCCAAGGGAGAGAATGTGGAAGATGTTCTAAGAGAAGCACAGGCTGCGGAGCGTGCCGGATTGGGTCACGAGGGGCAACAACCTGACGAAGCTGTCGATGCCATGGAGGATGATGACGCAGCAGCTGCGACAGCATCTGCTACAGCAGAACAAAGCTCATCAATGCAAGTACCAGATGTGAGTCGCCCCTTGCCGCATCGAGCAAGCGGGCTTGTCTTTCTGACTCTTTTCAGGCTGTAGAGGAGCACGCGACTGCGACTGATCAGCAGCCGTCCGGGATGAAACATCCAACTGGGCCTGCTCCTGTGGGAGGAGCTGCGATGCCCCATGCTGCTTTGGCACAAGGTAATCTTCCCTGCATAGCCTTAGCGCTGGTGGTAATTAACTTTGAACATTATAGTCCAGGATGAAGGGTTGAAGAACCTGATGATGGCCTGGTATTTCGCCGGGTACTACACCGGTCTATACGAAGGGCAACAACGGGCGAGCCAGAACAACAGCTCATAATGTTGTCTTTAGCACTCGAAAAGGGATGCCACTTTATAATATGAAACAGGTAGTCTGTTTGGAGGCCTGCTTGAGACACGGAAACAAGCTTACAGAGAATCTTTGAGCCCCAGAGCAGAACTGGTTCCACCGTTCCACGAGACTACGCAGGATGGTGTGGTCGGGGATACATATATCTCCCCATGTGAGTCTGCATCTTTGGATGCGATCGGGTCAACTAGCAGATAGCCTGAGCGGGCATGGAGACAAGAAGGTGTCTATTTGATCATTACCTTATTGTCCGGGCACTGTCCATCGCCGCCATGACCTCCATTATTGTACATATAATTTCGCTATGAGCATCGCAACTGATTTGGCTCGGTGCTATAGTGTTCAATTCCAAAGCAAACTCTGTCAGGAAACTGGAACCCTAATCATCTTGGACCAATACGTGCTATCGGTGCCTTGTTCCCTTGATCGAGTCAACGTGTGTTTCCTTTGTCCAGAGCCAGCTACTGGATATCAAAGAATTGGTGAAATGCATCCAAGGCGGAAGTTTACAGCCAGTACATAATCATAACATGCCATAGACCCGCGATATCTTCGAACTTTAGTAAAAAGGAATTCCATTTTCATTTGAGATTCTAATTAATGTACTAGTCAAGGACCGATCTTGTTTCCCACCGCACCACAAAACATCCAACAATTTCGCTCCCAAGTAGGAAAGCAAGGCAGAGACTGCACTCAACCGTTTGGATAAATAACCACCTCTCCGAAACCAGAGAACGACAGCCACCGTTTTCAACGACCCCGGGCGAGCTATACGCCTTCACTTTGTCTTCGACATACGTAATCTACCGAGTTGGCAGAAGGCTTCCCAGACCCGCACCACCTCCCAACACACCTCCAATGATGGGAATGTGCGAGAGCATGTTTGTGCTGCTCTGCTTCTTCTTCGGAACAGCAGCAGCAGAGCTGCTGGCAGCGGCGGGGGTCTGCACCGTGGTGCGAGTGCCCGATGGGATGGGCTGCGGCGTGGTGGTTGCCTCCTTCACATTGGCTCCATGAGCAGCCGAGGGCTTATCGGGGGTGTCTTTCTTATCCTCCTTCACCTCCTTCACATTCTCAAAGGCCTGATTGAGTTAGTGTGTGAGTCTGAATTGAACAACTTGCAGAGAGGGAAAAGTTAGGCGCAGAAATACGCACCTTGAGAGCGCTGAGAGCGGCTGCAACGGCATCACCAGCGTCCAAATCGCCGTCGTCACGCTTGGCGGGCAAGGCCGAGGCCATGAGGGCCAGGAAGAAGCAAAGAGCAAGGAAGGACAAGCTGAAACGAGCCATTTTGGATGAGGTGAAGAGGTGGTATTGCGATTATTGTGGATGTGATTCCAGAAAGGAAAGGATATCTCAAAGAGAGGACGCCGTCAGGCACAAGAAGAGAGTTATCTGGCTTGAAACTGCAGTGCTTCACACCGAGACAGTCAAGGAGAAAAACTCGACAGTTGACCATCAGCGAGGTCGAGGCCATGCTTTATAGATAACATTCTCATACTGGGAGTGGAAGGGGGAGCGGAATGTCGAGTCAGAGAACCTTTGCTCCCCTTATTGGATTGCGCGTCTCTACGTGAGTACTTAAGGAATGTCACCAACCTCGTCTATCGAATGTGAGAGCAAATTCTCCTGACGGAGGTTTGCGTATGCAAGTTCCGCGGGTCAGCTACGTGCCTTGATATTAAGCAAGGGAGGAATATCAAACTCACGCCTGCAGCTTCAAGACACTGGCCCTTGAAGACTTCAAAGCCGGTTACATTCTGGCCCAAGGAGGCAAAGAAAGAATGCAGATCCTCGTCTGCCCTTGGATGCGCCACCTTACGTAGCTGGCTTGACGAGGAGAGTCCGCTTCAGAGTCAAGATATTCGAGGCGAAAGCTTAATGATGTTTGAAACAGAGCTGCACGCGAGGGTTGACGAAGTACGATAGGTGATAGAGCATCAGTGAGAGATAAGTTTGATTCATTCATGGTTCGGAATTATGGAAACTAAGGGACCACGACACATTCCACCGTCGATGGTACTGCTAGTTGATGCCTGTGGAAGATCATGCAGCCATGCAGAACAGTACTACTGGAATGTACCTCCCTTCTTTTGACACGTACCGCTCCATGTGATTGAGAGCGGACGCAACACGAGGGAGGTCTTAAGCAACAAGATGTTGACTCATTCTCGGCACGATTTTGACCTCGAATATCATGGAAGAGATGACGGACGAGACTTCGAAAATGCCTGATGATCGTGTGTAGAGAGGAGAGAAAGTTGCGGCCTACGAGGAGTCAATACCATAGTGACCTGTAGGTTAGTTCGCGAGCGAGCATTGAGCATGGATCGACGGAGGGCGTCCAGGAGATGACCATCTTCATCCCATTTGAACATCCCATTTGAACATCCATTCCATAGATCACCGATTGCGATTGAAGCAAAAGAAAAGTAGTACTGGATATCCGCCCTAGAAGATATCGAAATTGGCTCCCTTCAAGGGATGTATGCTCAAAAGCGAACCCAACCACCTCGTGCGCGTATGGCAGGTGTTGGGATTAGAATGAGCACGCGATAATCGCTCTCGGTCTCGAATCTAAAATTTGCAGACGGAACGGATAAGCTTTGATGGTCAAAACAATCCATCAACAAGGGTATGTTGGAGACCTGGTAAAGAGGAAAAAAGAAGAGAAAGGGAGTGAGGGAGAAAGAAACGCAAAATTTATTCTGTAGTGGAAATCTCGAATTAGGTAAGCAGGCTTGTGCGGTCAAACTTGCAACCGTTCCCGAAGAAGATATGAAGTACGGACTAACGGAGTACATAGTTGATTGCATAAACAATGGTATTTGCGTTTCATAAAGCATACAAAACGGATATATCGCCGTCTTAGAACCTCATTAGATGGTAAATGCCACGTTTATCTTTCCGGACCCAAAAGTCCTTTGACTTAGAAGCGAGCGAGCACTCTCTCCTGAGTGTCACCCAGGGCCCACTCGTCGGTATGCTTCTTGCTGAGCACCGACTTTACTTGCTCGGCTGTGAAGCCCTTTGCCTCGACGGCTGGATTGTATCCAAGTCCAGTGATCTTGCCGACAACGTCTGAAGGAACTGCGGCCGCAACCTTGCCGTCCGCACGCTTGTATACAGTCACGACCACGGCACCACCCAAGCCAAGGTTGTGCTGCAGTGCCGCATCTGTTCCCTGGATCAATCGGTTGTTGGCCCAGCCACGCAGGTGCCAGACCAGCTCAGCACACTGCGCAAGGCCGGTAGCACCCAGGGGATGACCCTTGGAAATGAGACCGCCCGAGGGGTTGATGACCATCTTGCCTCCATAGGTGATATCACCTTTGCGAACCATCTCGTGCGCCTGGCCAGGCTCACAGAGCTCGAGTGCGTCGATCGTGATCATCTCATTGGCAGAGAAGCAGTCGTGCAGTTCGCAGACCTTGATGTTCTTAACGTTGACGCCAGCCTCAGCAGTGGCCGCCCGACAGGCGTAGCGGGTCATCCCAAAGCCCATCAGATCGATTGAGCTTTTGTTGTAGAGAGTGGGTGTGTCGGTTGCAAGTTGCTGACCTGCGATCAGGATCGCCTGTTCTTTGAGGTGAGGACGAGCGTCCAGGAACGCCTGGGACACGATCACAGCGGCAGCACCGCCGTCCGAGGTTGGACAGCACTGCAGCTTGGTGAGGGGCTCGTGAATCATAGGCGCCTTGAGAATCTGCTCGAGCGTGTATTCATCCTGGAACTGCGAGTAGGGGTTGCGCTTGGAGTGTTCATGGTTGATACGAGCGATTTCCGCGAAGTCTTCGTTCTTGGCTCCATACCTGAAGGAAGTTAGTACGGCAGGGTAACTCATGCAGCATATAGTATGGTTCAACATACTTCTCCATGTACTCCCGACCAGCATTGCCAAACATCTGTGCAGCACCGGGGGCGTTGGTGATTCCCCTCGTCTCAGCCATCATCATACCGAAGAGACCGGTCGGGTTGGCCCGGTCGTTGTAGACCGACTGCAAACTTCCAGGGCTCATCTTCTCGAAACCAATAACCAGAACACAGTCCGCAGCCCCGTGGGAGACCATGGTGCGAGCCATGGCCAGACCGGTTGAGCCGGTTGAACAGTTGTTGTTGACATTGTAGATGGGGATGTTGGTCAGACCGAACTGGTAGAAGACACGCTGACCGCAGGTACTATCACCGTAGACATAGCATGCAACACCTTGGTCGACATCATCGTAATTGATGTGAGCGTCCAGCATAGCCTTGACACCAGCCTCAAATCCGAGTTCATGGTAGTCGACCTTGCCACGAGGCTTGATAAACTTGGTCATGCCCACGCCTAGGACATAGGCGGGCGCTACTTGCTTCTTTCCCATGCTGATTAGTTGGGCCCCGAGGGGTACGTAAATGTTCTATCTTTGCAAGGTAGAAGGTTGGGGATATTGAACACCGGATCAGAGGAAAATATGATTGTCATAGATATAACATTTGCCGTCAGCGAGCGTGTGGAGAGCTCCTTGAATGCGGAGAAAGAATTGTTGTGATTAGTGATAAGACCGGTAGTTGTTTGGAAGCATCCCCATTGCCATTGGATTGCGGGGGATAAGCCGCTGCCGCGACCGAGGTCCCGAGGATATTTGGTTGATCATGCTGCCATGCATCCATCAGAACGCATAAAGAGGAGGATATGTACGTGGTAGTCGTATGGTTCACATGATTCTCCCCTGCATACCCGGGGTTTCTTTTTATGCCCGTATTCTTGATTGACTTGGGATAAAGACAGAATGAAGGCAAGGCGATATCATACCGCACGTGAATGGAGATGGGCTCAGGGTGAATCAACACATTCCCACATTGAAGACCTTTCAGGGACATAAATAGTCTAAGGATCAAGGGTCTATCACAGAGACAGTTGCGGTCATAAGCAAAGAAAAGCTGTGCGCCGTTAATACTCAGCCCATGGGAAGGTGACGAGGGCTGTAAGAAGATGGAGACCTAAGTTGAAGCCTATAAGCTGCAGGTGAAGGCTATCGCCAAGGAAACTTATAGAGGTATCTGGGCTCAAAAGAGACTAGCAAAGAAGAAGAAATAGGTGAACAGCGAAACTATGTGTATTAGTTTTCTAACCATGTGCTCTGTACAGTCAACACCTGCTTTAGCGAGCTGTGCATAAATATATTTCCGATAGACGATCGCAAGCTCCAAGTTCCCAACTTCATACGTACTAACTACCCCATGGCGAATGGACTGATCATCATTGACATTTGTCCAAAACAGTCTATGAGGGCAACTTCCCAACCCACAGTCCCTTATTACTTTCTCTTTAATGCTATGGCTTGCTGATTAAGGTTGGGTACAGGGTCACCTGTATAGAGGGATATTCAGAGACTGAATAAACGGACTCAATAAAATTCAATGGATCATCAGCGATCTCCCCTACTGATCCAAGGGACGTCCTCAATAAGTTGAGCCAATGCCATCATCGATTTCATGTGTGCTTGTTCGATCGATCTCACTGTAGGTAGGTAAGTAGTATCACCCTTTGAGAAACTCTGCTCGTGCTCCGGTCTGATAATACAACCATGAGGGGTACAATAGCGCAACAGCGTTTCGTCCTCTGTAGAATGGTCTTGTGCGAGGTTCATCAATGTATTCTCCTCTGACAGCAGCAATGGCTTGATACTGACCAGTGATTCCATGCCTGAGGAATCATAGTGGCCCACACCCTTTTCCAATATAGAGCCAATCAAAATGGCTGCTAGATAGGGCGGGGTAAACGCGACCAGCACCGGACTGGCTTGGTCCGCAGCAACATCTCCCTTGCCACGACCGCCACATCGATTCTTGAGTACCGTCCTGCATGATAACTGGTTTAGTCTGCCAGGGAGTTGGGGATGATACTTTACCTTAAGTAGCTAGTAGCTACTCCACAGTGAGTTAGTGCTTCATAGATAGTCCCCTAACAGCTATGAAATGTTCAGCTGCAATTATACCCATAGCTCAAGCTTAACAGCTGGTATATTGTAGAACATCTTCTCAAGCAGGAGCAGGAAAGAATTGATCTGTGAGCGACGCTGTACCCCGGCCACTATACCCCTTGTTTATGACCTGCGACTCCAGACGGGCGCACTGGATGCTTCACGACGACGTCACCGAGCCAGAGCCCCTAAGCCATTTCGAGAAGTCCGTATCCACCACCGCAGGAGGGCCCACATGCCTGCCCGAATTCTGAGGTTTAGCTGCTGTTCGGACTTTGAACTAGGCTAGTCACTGGTGGGAGTAATCAACTCAGTTCACGACTGGACGGGTCGTTGTCTGGCTGTCTGTTTGCCCTTCCAGCGATCTCTCCTCTTCATACTCTGTCAAGTGGTGACCATCTTGACTGGTATTTCCACTGGAGAGGAGACATCGAGCTCACACGAGGTAAGTGCTTGATTATGTTCCTCCTATGCACGTTTCGGGATTTCCTTTTGCTCGCAAAAACGAGAAATGTTGATGCAGACTTGCTGATTGAAGCTCTGTCACTGCTATGGTATAGTGCGATCGAATTGCCTCGTCAGTTTGAAGCTTTTGAATGCCGTAGACAGGCCAAGATTTCGTGAATCACCATTGTCGCCAGAGCTCCGCCAGTTTGCTGTCCTCCATTGCCGGTCATCCTAGCCTCTGGCCCTCCTCAAAGACGAAAGAAAGACCATACACAAGGGCTGTTTCAGTCCGCTTCATGGACAATTGTGGGACGCTGAACGGTCTGCTCGCACCCTGAGAGACCGCTTTGCGTTCCATAGGGTTCCCCAGCCTACTGCTCACGATATTGAATGTTGGCGCGTCGCACCTGATTTCTGCCGACTAAGCAATCAATTGTAGCAGGACTCCTCTACCTTCTGCCCAGATGGGCAACTTTCAGGGATGACTTTGGACAAACACACTGAACATGCGCCCTTTGTGTCTTCACCTCCACAACCTTCCACTGTCAGAATGCGAGCGGACAACACCTGGATTATGGATGATGCCACACGCAACAAACTCTTGAAGAAATACAAAACCCAGGTGGCGTCGGCGACTTCGACAATCTGCGCGACTCTCTCTGTGGTAAGTGTGGATTATCGAGTGTTGACATAGCGGGATAGATGCTGATATGTCTGGTTTTCCTGAAGACTCCCTTGGAGAATATCAAGACCCGTATGCAGACGTATGTTATTTCTTTCCACAAATTCACTGCAAGAAGGGAGCTGGCAGAATTGACCCCGGAGCAGACACAACTTCCAAAATGTCTTCCAATGTGTTCGCTACCTTTGGCGTACCGAGGGACCCCGGGGCTACGTTGCTGGTAGGTTGACATCGCTCTTGGGATCTACGCAATCGGCGGTCTAATATTCGAAATGCAGGAGCTCTGCCTCCTCTGGCAAGTGTCACCGCGGTCCGTGTCGTGAATTTCTCCACGTACAACGCAGCCAAACACCGCATCTCCGAGTTTGTCGAGAGAATTACCGGCCAGTCTCCTCTGGCAACCTACAGCACGCCAGGCAGCAGTCCCACTGTGTCCACTCTTTTGACCTTTACTACCGCGGGCTTCATTGCAGGCCTGATCACCTCTCCGCTTGCATGTAAGTTTCGTGACTGAATCCAACCGCCACAACTGCTGATTTGGTAGGTCCCTTCGAGCTGGCCAAGAATGTTGTACAGACATCCGTCTTGGTCTCTCATCGTTCCCAGGCGTCTCCCGATGCGGTGCGGGACCCATCTCTGCGCAACCAACCACGCCTCGGCACCATCGAGGCGATCAGGCAGATTGTTCGCCGTTATGGGTTTCGCGGCTTGTACACGGGTTTCCATCTCCATGCGATGCGCGATACAATTGGATCCGGTCTTTATTTTAGTGTCTACGAGACTGTTAAGCAGGTCGCGGCAAAGGAACTGGGACCGGACAAGTCTCCTTTTGGAGGCCCGATGATTGCCGGTGCCATTTGTAGCACCGTGCCTTGGTTTTGCGTAAGGCACTTTTTCTCTAATGAAACGGTCAATTGCTAACCTTTTGCCAGACCTATCCACTTGATACTCGCAAGACCCGTGCCCAGAGCGTGCTGCTTGGCAAGTCCAAGGAGGTGGGCGAGGCATCAGCGGCCGTCTCCAAGTCGAGTATGTACAAAGGTCTATCGATCATTCTTATTCGTACGGGAGTCAACAATATGATTCTCCTGAGTATGTTCGAATACATTAAGTTGCGGATCAACCAGCTGGAGGGCTAGCGGAGACTGCATTTGTTGATTTTTCTTGCAAACAATGGAGTTGGTCTTTGGCGCACTGGGATAGGCATTGTATTTCTTGCATGATTTGGGCTTATGTTTCGAGTACATAAATACATCACTACATAAATACATGAGCTAGAAGCTCGTAGCAAATATCAGGATGAATCAATGATGTCAAAAAATACAACCCCGAAATATTAATGGAAGGATGTGGAATGCCTCAGGCAGAAGGACGTCATCCCGTTGCCAGGCCAAGTAGGCGGGGTTGGGCGTCTCGCTGTCAACAAAAAGTTCCCAACGGCGGCCACTTTGCCTGCGATGCTTCCCATGCCTCAACCACCACAATGACATCGTACGTGCTGCGGAAACCTTTTCAATGATGCGTTCGCTGATGGTTATGCTAGCAATATTCTTCAGGTTCCCTTTCGGCGCTCCCATGCCGTTTCCCTGTCCGATGCGATCACTCAGTACATTTCGTCCAAATATGACCAGCGACCGGATATGTTCGCAGATGATCTCTTGATCATCGACCGTTTGCGAAACGAGGCGATCAATGTCCAGGAACCACATGTCAGTGGGATCAGTCGACTGGTCACGTACGCGGCGCAACTGAAATGGCTGGGTGGAAAGTTCCCGGTTGATGTGAGTGTACTGGAACAAGACCCTCTGCATGCGGTATGCTGATTGAGCGCGACAGGTAGGGGTAGAATTTCCGTGGTATCCTGCCTTTGGATTCAATACAACAAGACCTAGTATGTGATTACAGCGATATACCAGGGATGACTCCGGATGAGCACTGACAGTCGTCAAGTTTCACAGAATAACCTTCGCTTCGAATTGGCCAACATCCTTTTCAACCTTGCCGCGCTATACTCCCAGCTAGCCTTTTCTGTTAACCGGACGACTTCCGACGGACTCAAGCAGGCATGCAATTACTTTTGCCAGTCTGCCGGGGTTCTCCTGCACCTACGAGCCGATATCCTTCCCGACCTGCGAACGTCCCCGCCCGAGGATATGGATGAAATGACCCTGCAGAGCCTGGAGCAACTTCTTCTGGCCCAGGCACAGGAGTGCTTCTGGCAAAAGGCCGTCAAGGACGGTCTGAAGGATGCATCGATCGCCCGGCTGGCGGCCAAGGTCTCCGACTTTTACGCCGAGGCCGGCGACTACGCGGTGAAGTCCAATGCGATCAGTCCTGAGTGGATCCACCATATGACGGCCAAGCACCATCACTTTGCGGCCGCAGCGCAATACCGCCAGTCGCTGGACTGCCTGGAGAAGCGAAAGTATGGCGAGGAAGTGGCGCGGCTGCGGGACAGTGAGGCGTGCGTCAACGAGGCGCTCAAGGAGTCTCGCTGGATAAACCGGGCCGTGCTGGGGGATCTCAATGGTCTGAAGAGCCGTGTCTCGGAGGACCTTAAGCGGGCGACCAAAGACAACGATGTCATCTATCTTAACCCTGTGCCGCCCAAGTCAGAGCTCAAAATCATCGACCGGGCGTGTATGGTTGCGGCCAAGGCGCCGTCCCAGGTGACGGATGCGATATCCATGCTGGGGGAGAACGGGCCTTTGGGGCAGCCGCTGTTTGCCAGATTGGTGCCCTATGCAGTTCATATTGCAGCCAGTATCTACTCGGACCGCCGGGACCGACTGGTCAACGAGAGGATAATTGGGGAGTTGGAGACCATGACGGACAAACTGCGAGAGTACGTATTGGGCAATTACGCAACGCTTTAGTGGAATTATGCTGACTTGTTAGTTTGCTATCATCGCTGAACTTGCCAGGGTCTTTGCAGGCGCTTGAGAAGCCGCTTGGACTGCCTCCAACGCTGGTAGCTCACGCTGAGGAGATGCGACAGCAGGACGGGCTGCACCGGCTGCGGAGGTCGCTTGAAGATATAGCCAAGGTCAAGGCCAACGACAAGGCGGTCTACAGTGAGGGGGTAGAGCTGCTGGCGGCCGAAAAGGCGGAAGATGATGCTTCACGGCGGAAATACGGGACCGATCGATGGACGCGGCAGACGTCCGACGCGGCGGCGCCGAAGCTGTACACCACGTCGAGCGAGATCAGCGGTTATTTTACGTCGGCGCAAAGCAGTGACAATCTCGTTGAGCAGAAGCTACGCGACTCGGAGGCGGTCTTTCGGGTGCTGACAGGTACCAATCGCGACCTGGAGATGTACGTTCCCAGCAGCCGGCGGGCTGCAATCCCGCCGGAGGTGGAGCGGGAGTTGATCCGGCTGCGGGGATGCCTGAGCGAAGTGAGTCGGTTGGAGAGCCGAAGGAAGCGGCGAGCGCAGGCGTTGAAGGAGAAGGCCAGGGGGGATGATGTCACACAGGCGCTTTTGAAGGAGACTGCGCGGTTGGAGCGGGAATTTCCCATGCAGCCCATCCAGGCAAGCCAATTTGAGGATCTGTTCGAGGAGCAGCTTCATCTGTACGACACGGACCTGGAGATGGTTGCGCAGGAGCAGCATGATCAGGACCAGATTGCGGCGCAGGTGCGCGAAGCCAACCGGGCGTTCACTCGGGCGCACAAGGGGGATGCGTCGACCAAGGAGCGGGAGAAGGCGCTACAGGAGCTGGAGAATGGTTATCTAAAGTACAAGGAGATCATCTCGAACATTGAAGTGGGCCGAAAGTTCTACAACGATCTGGCCAAGATTGTGGGGAGGTTCCGGGATGACTGCAAGGCGTTTGTGCACCAGCGCCGTATGGAGGCGAGTCAACTAGAAAGGTTATTTTCTCTTGTCCATCGGTTTTCGGTGTGATACTGATCGATTTAGTGATATTGCAAGTGCTGCAGCGATGGCTTCCTTGAATATTTCGCAACCTCACCTCCGGCAGCAGCCGCAGCAGCCGCCACCGCACCAACCACAACTATCATTACCCCAGCACCTGTTCAGCCGCCCGTTCAGGTGCAACCATCACGACCACCAGAAGAACCGCTGACGGCGCCGCAACCGACTCGAGCACCAGTGGCACCGCCCGCCGTCCCGACGCCTGGTATGTGGTCACCAGAGATGGGTATCCGGTTCGGGGGAGGCAACAACCGAGGACAGCCGGGGCAATGGGATCCCAGCGATGGGATTAGATTCGGTTGATGTATGCATAGACAAGATGTATCCAAGTTTTTGTATATACATGGAATGATACCATGAGTATATAGGGGGACTTTAAACCGCCCGACGCATCACGGCGGCCGCCTCGGCAGCCAATTCCCTAGTCTTGATATCCAGGTCTTCAGCCAGACTCAGAAACTGGAACCGATCAATCCACATCTGCCAGCGACTTTTAGAGACTGTGGTCGCGGGCTCCCCCGCAGCACCAGCACCAGCACCAGCACCAGCACCAGCACCAGCACCAGCACCAGCACCAGCACCAGCACCAGACTCGCGCTGCAAAGGCGACCGTGATAATCCCACGGGAAATTCTTCAGTCTCATGCCTCCTTTCCCATAGTTCCTCGCCCATGATCAACGCCCAGATGGCCGCACAGGAGACGAAGATGGCCATCTTTTTCCGTTTTCCGGACCCGGGGGGTGGTACACCAACACCAACACCAACACCAGTCCCTGTCCCTGTCCCTGTACCCTCCCCCTGTTGCTGACGATAATAATAATGGTGATAATGGTGCTGCTCACCCCTCTCCAGCGCAACTCTCAGAATATGAATCCCCACATCTTCTAACCGGACAATACGCTCCTTGGTGATGAATGCTAGGAAGGCGTGGAGGTTTTCCCATTGTTGTTTTTCATTCTCATTTGAGGGGGAGGATTCGTCCTCGTCCTCGTCCTCATACTCGGATAGAATATCAGCGATTGCTGCTTTTAGCTCGGATTGCTCTGCATCAGCGTCTGGGGACTGGTTCGTGAGTGGCAGGGACCGCAGGGAGTCAATGAGGGATTGTTGCTCTGGGGAAGGGAGGTCGGGTTTTGGTGTTGAGGTGCGCGGGGTGTGTTTTGCGGTTGTGAGGAGGGAGGGCCATGATTCTGATGGGATGGACATTCTGATTTTTTTCTTTTTTTACTGATGTTCATTTCATGTTGGTTTTTCTTGTCTTGTCTTGATTTGGTAGATGAATATCTGGTGGTATGGTAGTTAGTCTATGACGTATGACAGTTACCTTATCGATAATGGGGATGGCTGGTTGAATTAAATAAATTGATTATTGGGTATCATTCGTTATGCATCATATATACACCATTCGTATATATACACCATTAATTGTCTATTCACAATATACCAGAAGCAAGCCCTACAGACAGGCAAGGCAGGCAGGCAACTTACTCCTTCTCGCCCACCTCGACATCCACCCCACCAAGGAAGAAATCCAATTCGCTCGGCCCACCCGCAGAATTCTGCTCATTCTCCGCCAACTGCTCCAGCAGACTTAGGAAGGGATCCTTCTCGAGGGACCCCGCCTCGCTGCTGCCGCCGCCGGCGCCGGCAGTATGCGATGAACTGGCCTGGGACTGCGCGCCGGGCGTCATGATCGTTTGGCCGGTGTGGTTTTGATGGTGGTTGTTGTTGTTGTTGTTGTTGTTGTTGCTGCTGCTGCTGTCGAAGGGGAAGGTGGCGTACTGTGGGTGCGAGGGCGGAGTGGGCGCCACGTGTAGCGACTCTGTCAGGAAGGCGGGCGGCGAGAAGCCGAACATGGCTGATGGGGGCGGTGGGGAGAAGCTGTGGTTGTGGTTGTGGTTGTGGTGATTGGCGTGGGATGGTGGTGGTGGTGGTGGTGGTGACCGTTGGTGGCATCCGAGGCAGAAGGATGGGTCAGGTCGGCGTTGCCGAGGGTAAATGTAGATTGGAGTTGCGATTGATGAAAGGTGAGCGATGGGGATGAGACACCGGGCGGCTTGGTCGTCGCGGTGCTGGTGGTGCTGTGCGAGTCGCGGCGCGGCGACGGGCTGTGGTTGGATGGAAGGGTGACGGGTGCACGGGGCGGTTGGTTATGGTACATGGGATATGCGGTCATGGGTCGGTAGTATGGGTCCAATTGGGGGCTAACAAGGAGTCAGATCAATACTTGCGTCAGAGCCAAGGAAAGAGGGTCAAACCTACATATCATCCATATCGACCAAGCGCACGTGCGACCCGTCGGCCGTCAGACCGGGATACCGATCTAGAAAGTCCTCCAGGTGAAAGACGGGCGAAAAGCGCATGGGACTCGTGGCCAGCGTGCGGACTAGCTCGGCGTGGCAGGTGTAGATGGTCTGCAGCATCTCGCGCTGATGCTGGACCCCAGCCCAGTAGGACCCCAGCCAGGTCAGCTGGTGCATCTCACGAGTAAGAAACTCGGCGCTGGACGAAAACACCTCGCCCTCGCGGCCCTTGTAGTGCACGCCGTGCACGTGGACCGTTCCCGCCGTGCAGACGCAGTACCCCACAAAGGCGGGCCATTCGATCAGGGGCGAGTTGCGGGCCAGCTCGACCAGCTCGGCGATGGCGTTGGAGTGCGAAAAACACAGGTTCGTAGCCTCGATCTGCCACGACTGGTGCTGGCCGGTGCCGCGCAGCTCGACCAGGTCAATCGGCAGGAACGGGCGGTAGATCAGACAGTGGACGAGATGATAGATAAGCTTGCTCAGCAGCAGGATGGAGCTCTCGGGATGGCCGAACAGGGCTTCCACCGACGCAAAAACGTCCTGGGTGCCCGTGGCCCAGATGTCCAGTTCCTGACGGATTTTGGACAGGTTGGACAGCGAGTGCCAGGGGAAGTGCGAGTCGCCCTTGACACCGCCGGCGGCCAGGTAGCGGTTGGTGATCCCCAGGATACGGGTGATGTCGATGAGCAGGGCGGTGGCCCCGGGTTTGCGGCGCGGGTCGCTCGAGTACTGGATGTTGGGGCCGACGGTGTTGAAGAGCTCCCCTTCGACGTTGAGTCCGGCCGCATGCGGGGACCAAGCGGGAAGCCGCAGGACGATGGAGTGGTCGGCGATGAGGCCGGGCCGTTTCGAGCCGCAGGTGAGGAAGCGGTCCATGATGTAGACGGCCCAGAAGAGCCGGCGGCGCATCTCGCGTTCCGCGGCGGGCAGACTCTTCGAGGGCTCGCGGTAGAGGTCCAGAGCAATGGCCATGGAGGCACAGTTGGCTGTACAGTCAATCAATCAACATGCTGTCTCTTTTCACGAAGGGGCGGTGGTTGCATACTGAAAGTCATATAGGCCTTTTTGCCCAGACCATGGGCAAAGTATGTCTGCGAGAGTAGAAGCAGGGCCTGCAGCCCATCCATGGTCGGTTGATCCACATCCACCATGCGTCGGGCCTGCAGAGCATAATCCAGGGCCATGCGCAGGGACTGCTCGGGGGTGTTGGGCGAGCTCGTATATCTGGGAAATGGTCAGTCCGTACTGAACGAACGAGATGCACATGGTCAGGAAAAAACAAACCGCAAGGTAATGGCGTAGATGGCCATCGACAACGCGGCAGGCAATTGCCCCATCTGATGACTCTGCCGAGTCACCGACTCGTCCAGGATGAAGTAGGGTTTGCCATGGATGCGGGCAAAGTACGCATCCAACATGGAATCCGGCAGGGCAAAGTGATGCACGGGAGGCGACGGCTGCGAGGGAAAGGAGAATGGCCGTGGAAAAGGTTCGGATGGGGGCCGGTGGTAGTGGAGGCGCTGGAGGTGGATGCGCGGGCGAGGGCATGCATCGAGGCGGACGGATCAGGAGGTTCCTTGTCCGGTTCGACGGGGAGGTAGGCGAGATGGGGTTTTTATTTTCATCCTGCAGACGTTTCTCGAGACCGTCGACACGCTTGAGCAGGGCTTCGAGGACGTCTGTTTTGGGGCCGCGCTTTTTGGGGACGGCATCTACGACAATTTAGTAGGGGTACAATGACTGGGACCGGGGGTATGAGGCGAGAAATACCGTAGATGCATGGGCATTGAAAGACCTTGCATGCTTCACAGCTAGGACGCATACGATTGCATTTGATCTACAAATTAGAATTGACTCTTTTTAGACACACGAGGGACGCTCACCTTTCGCTTTCGACATGATTTGCAGTTCATGGACTCGCGCGGTTCGGCAGTGACTCGGCGCGGAGTGAGCCGGTCGATACTGACGGCGGGGCGAGAAATAACCGAAGACATGATGGTTTGATGAATAGATAGAATAGAATACAGAAAAAAGGATTGGTCAAGACATTGGGAAGACTGAGACAGCAGAGAAGAAGGGAAAAAAGGAAGCGGAGGAAGAGGGACGAGGAGGAAGAGAAGAAAGAGGAAAAAGGATGAGGATCAGTTAAATTAAAGTGGCCGACTCCAAGACGCACGATCAGGATCAGGATCAGGATCGGGTGTCAGGAAGGGAGTCGGTCCAAGGCTTCAAGACTTCGGTAGTTTAAAGCGAAAGTAAAAAAGTAAGACAGGGATGAAGATCATAGACAAGTCTGCATGTAGTAGTTGACTAGTTAGTGGTAGCAGCAAGAAGAAGGAAGAAATACGAAGCATGAGGAGAGAATTGGCCATGATGAGTGGGGAATCTGGAGATGGAGAGACGGAGGATTGTCTAAGTCTCTAGTGTCGGACCAGAGACGATTCCCGGTTAGATCCATGCTTCAGCCAGAGACAGCTAAAGTAGTTCAGGACCACTTAGCTTTAGTCTTTAGTCTTTAGCCTGGAGACGAGATGATGGTAATTATCCTGTGCCACCGGAGTGCGGGGAGATTACAGTCTCAGAGTCTAAGAAGATACTATCTACAAAGTACAGACACCACCCAAAAGAAGAGACCACAGAATCCGGGGAAGTCGATCATTTCTTCATCGGATATTCAATCTGACCTCGCTTCCACAGAATAGATTAATCGCTCTCTCTCCATCACGGACCGAACTGCCGTCCTGTGGCCCACTGGTCTTTTACTCCATTCGAGACGGACCTCCAAGATCTAGTCCATATGCAGTACGCAGTATACAGTAGACAAAGACACGAGGCCAGTATCTGCAGGTCATCATCCCCCTGACCCGATTCTTCAGGTTGTCTGTCCACTAGATAAACCATGTCCATCATGTCTTAACTCTCCGCAGTCACTATCACACAAGTCTTTTTCTCTTTGCAGAAGCGTCTCCGATCGACAAGGTACCATACAGAACAGTCTTAGCTCTACAGTCTTAGCTCTACTTCTACTCCGGTACTTACTCCGTACTCTACATATGAATGCGCTTAATTGTGGTCAAGTCAGGGTCAGGGCTAAGATTGCCTACTCCGTAAACAACACACAGCCAAAAATACCGGCCACTCTCCGAATACCGGTTGTTACCTTACCCATACCGGGGTCCCCACATTACTACTCCAGAGTCCATCCAGAGTCCAGCCAAGAGTCCAAGACAGCATCGCAACTAAATGATAGATTGTAGACAGATTGTAGAGATTGTAGAGATTGTAGATGTGACTCGTAGATTCAGAGATTCAAACATGAATGTAATAATGCCCTACATCTAATAAATCCTCCCCGAAGCCATTCGCACAAAATCAAACGGCACATTCTGTCCCACCAGCAGCCGCATCGTTTCCACCGTCGTCCACGCCGTCACCTCGTCGATCCCGTACGCCGTCCAGCCCGCACTGACCGCCACGCCCACCGGATCCCCTTGCGCTCCCCCGAACTCGCCGTCAGATCCAGGTACACTTTGCCCCGCGTCGATCGCGGCGACGTCCGCCCGTTGCTCCGGTAATGTCGCAGCAGCGGCTGCACCAGCAGCGACTTCTCCGGCGGCAGCGCCGACACCATCACAAACGGCTGCTCTACCAGCTTCACCGACTGGATGGAGGTGAAGGGCTCCAGTCCGGCCGCCAGCGGTCCCGTCGCTCGGAATCCAACAGTGTAGATCGATCCGACCCCGAGACTGCGTAGCGCATAGATGGCTGCGGAGGCATCGCTCTCCGAGCCTGCCAGGATGATCGCCGCTCGGCCCCGGTAGGCGGACGGCACGTAGTCGCGTGTCAGCGTCGCCCGGATTCCTTTCCATGTCGCGTTCTCCCCTATTAGTGTTCTTGTTGTCCCCGATCCTTGTGATGACTGCGGTCCCGACCCAGGCTGCGGCTGCGGCTCCCCCACTACGATTGTATCGACCAACCCGATCGCCCGCGCGGCCTCGCTGACCGCAGGAATGTACGGCGTCGCAGCCGAGATAGGCGGGTTCACCGAGGCGCCGCCGAAGCTGGGCTGCATGATCACCCCCTCGATCGTCCCCTTGGGACCGCGGTCGATGGACGTCAGCGTGTGCGGCAGGCTCAGCTCATTAAAACACTTCTCCATGAACATGGACTGCGGCGTGGCCCGGAACGACCCAATCACGTACAGATCGCGCTTCGGCAGCGCGCCCATGATGTGCATCGCCTCGTTGATCTCGGCCGCGGTCAGCTGACCCGGCGCGGCGATCATCGGCAGCAGCGGGTGCGTGATGGGCGAGAAGACCGTGTTGAGCGCGCGCGACAGCTGGCCCATCTGGCCCATGTTGACCGCCGACAGCAGCGGGGGGACGCGCGTGCCTTGATCGTCGACCGGAAGTACTCCAGCTCGTAGTTGGCCTCGATCGTGTGGACCATGGCGATCATCTTGACAATATCCGCGTACCGCACGCTCTCCGCAAAGATGCGCGCCGCCTCGGGCGACGTCCACTTCCACGAGCCCGAAAAGTCATGGAACGCCGACATGATCACGCTGTGGCCCTTTTGCTCGGCCAGCCGCCGCCGGATCTCCTCGGGCAGCCACAGCTCCACATCGATGTACTCGCACCCCCACTGGATCGCCCGCCGCAGGTACCGGTAGAACAGCATCGGGTCGTCCATGGGGAACTTGCCGTTCTCCTTGGTGCAGCGCGTCGTGAAGATGATCGGCAGCTCCGTGTGCTGCCGCAGCAGCATCACCTGCTGGCCCACGTACCGCAGGCTCGGCACGGGGCTGGCGACCCCCTGCGGCGACGGCTCGACCAGCAGATCCACCCGGATCTCCACCGCATCCGACCCGACAGACAAGATGTCCAGGTTCGGCAGCGCCGCATGCACATCGGGGAACGTCGTCGAGATGAAGTTGGTGCGGGTCTTGGTCTTCAGATCCTCGTGCGGCCGCGTCTGGCCCAGGATCAACGACAGGAAGCGTGTCAGGTCGCGCCGCAGAAACGGGCTGTGTGAGTACAGAAACTCATAGTCGCAGCGGTCGGTGAGCGCCTCGTCCGGCGACGACCCGTCGTCCACGCAGTGCGTGTTGATCACGATCAAAGTAGACGGGTCGCACTCGTCGAGACTGCGTGCCAGCTCGGCGGCCAGAATCCCCACCACCACGGCATTACTGCCCTTCGCCAGGGAGGACAGTGACGTTTCCGTGGTCCATGGTTTGCCCAGAACCTCGGCGACCAGGTGCACGATGGTGTCCTGGCCGGACCCGTAAACTACCACCACCGTCCTCGGAGGATCCGCGGGGACAGACTGGGGAGCGGCAACGGCTGAATGGGCCGAGACAGGAGTAGACAGTGGGGAGTCTTGAGCACCGTTGACAGGCGACGGAGCGCTGGTGCTATTGTTGGTAACAGAAGGCGCGGTATCAGCAAGAATGGTCATCGCCATGGGCTGATGAATGGCTGTCTGCATCATCTCATTGCATGGGCAGATAGACTGCTCAGTTCATAGTTGGCCCAAGTCCCAATAAAATAAACGGCAGCAGTTGAAGTCTCAGACAGATGATAAGATGGTATCATTCATAAAATAAAATAAAAGATAAGAGTGTAGCCCACTGTGATGCTGTGATGCTGTTCTGCTGGCAATGGCACTCTGGGGTAAAACCCACACACGAGGGAGTTTAGCCTTTAATGTTGATCACTGTCGATGTAGGTAGGTAGGCAGGGTAGGCTATTATCCGGAGAAAAGAGGGCGAACGGGTATCAAATATATCAAATAGTCGAGCAAGATAAAAGGAGAAATGATAGAGTGAGGGACAATCTAGGACAGAAGGGAGAATAAGGACAGGACAGGATAGGATAGGATCAAATCCGATCAGATCAGGGTATCATCCACCAGTGCCAGGACGCTGGAAGCCGACCGGCAACGCCGTAGTCTATGGTTGTATCAGACGGATTGTAAGAAGAATTACCCCTAATAGAAGGAAGAGACAGAGCAAGGAAGCAAGCAAGGTCCCGAGGAAGGAGAGAGAGACGAGTTAGAGACTCAACAGTCAATGTCACTAGTCAGCAGAGAGTAACGTTATCCAAATGATTCTTCTTCTTCTTCTTCTTCCTCCTTCTTCCTCTTCTTCTTCGTCTTCTTGTCGGTTATCCCATCGACGGCAAATGCAACGATGCCGTCTTTCTCTCCGGCTGAATTTCCCCGGGTTTCCGCCTCCGCTGCCGGACCCTATTTCTCCGCCAATAGAATCCCTTCTTACAGGGTACAATACAGTACTCCATGATCAGCATGGACAGGTTTCCATATTAATATAATGATTGAGAAGATGCGTAGAGTATCTAAGGAAAGGGATCGGATATTTGGCTAAATACTCATGGTACCCCCTGGTCAGATGTTCTCTACACGATAACCCTAATGATCATCATCATGCAAGGCAGCAAGACCAGACACATGGAACTATCCGTATTCTGTAATCCTCAAGACAGGGTACACTGGCTGGTAGTATTCCGTAGCTGGTAGTATACTCTGTAGTAGAAAGATCTACCTGATGGAGTAGCGTTGAAAGGATAATCGTCCAAAACCTCCGATGATACGAGGAAAAAGAAAAGCTCATGGCGTTACGGAGCACAACCGCCCCCATCTAACTGGCCCTGGTGCTCCTGGAGGAATCCACCCGCCTCAGATCTATGGATTGATTCCTTGAGAAGTTACCTCAGGATAGCTCATGGTACAACGGTCTCAGGTCACCATGTCACCTTCTCAACGGGTTTCCCGGCTATTGACCAGTCGTGTCTGCCGTACTCCAGCTCCAGTCAGTCGTAGGTCCAGTCTACCTACATCTTCTGAGCTTCCTACTTGGCAAGCTAAAACATGGCGAAGGAAGAGTTGCAGCAGAGGACTGTACATCTGCAACAGTAGCCAGTCTGACCCGGTCTGTAAGCCTGGCCTGGCATTTGTGGAAGAATCTGGCAGACACTTGAGACATGCTTATCTGAAGGATGATCCGCCGCAGCTTCCAATGGCCAGTCACTATCGCTGCCGTCGATGTCATCGCTGACCCTGTTTATCCTGTGCGGTTGATATCCATGGTGAAGCATATATACTCGGTAGTCCCTGTCATCTGATGAAATCCTGCCCGGTCACTGAATAGCCAGACAGCTACAGATAAACCCAACTACTCATGCAATCTCGTATCCTCATTCATTCCAGGCCCGCAAAACGCAGACCACCATTCCATTGACTCGTTCACAGATGCAACAAGACGACTCTTCCAAAATAAGGGAACATCTCTAGAAATAAATAAACCAAAAACAGCCGGAGAAATACCGGGCCAGTCATTCGGGGTATTAGAGAACAAAAAAAAAAAAAAAAAAAAAGGAACCCAAAGCCAAATCCAAATCCAGTCAAGCAGAAGACCAAGCAATCATGTCCGCTGTCTCAATGTAAAAAGTAAGAGAAGATCGATATGTGTACAAATATGCTGGCGTCGATGTATGTATCGTACCTCCATGACCTCGAAAAGTCAGGTTTCATGTCAGGCCATCACGTCGTCAGTAGTGACGTGTGCCGCGCTCAAATCATGCGTGCAACTCGTCCACATTCCCACTGCAGAGGAGCAGATCCGGAAATACTCTTCAGCACGGAGAATGGCGTGCCGCGGACGTGCTCCCGTGGCGCGGACCCTCCCGTGCTCATGCAAAGTAACATTGCTAGTCAGTACATTGCTTGTTGTGGTCCCCACCGCAGCTTTTCGAGCGCAGGCAGGAATATCATCCTATCGACGGTGGATAGGCCAAATCGTAACCGTCCAAGTCTCAGGGTGCGAGTGGCCTGCCGATGCTCTATCTGCGACAAAAGTGAAACAAACACGGGTAACTGACCCCAGTGAGAGATAGGACATGCGCATGCCACGTGGACAGCGTCAGATCCAATAGCGTTCTAGGGCATATCAACCCCCTTCAACATCGAAATCTCTTCATCTTAAGGAGGAGAGATAGCAAGCCCGTTCATAAGATTAGGAAGCGGCTTCCGGCGAGCATTGTTGGCCGTCTTTGAGACCCGCGGCGCTCCATTGATCATGCGCGGTTCCTTCATCAGGCTGGTGTCGAGCTTTGCTGGGGCTGTGACGGATTAGCATTATTCTACAGACAGGCTAACAAGTTTGCAGATCGTCGACGCACCCCTAGTGACAATGCGGGTGTAATCCCCAGAAAGAGTCTGCTGGCCCCTGCTGCTCGGTGGAAACGAAGTCGCACTGGCTGTTCGCCAGAGATGGTTCGAGGTATCGGATAGGAAATCGGTCATGGTACGGCTAGAGAACAGCGAAGAACGGCCCCGGTTCCGTTTGGACAGAACAATCTCATCGAACAAGGCCAGTCGGGGGTCCTTTGACTTGGGATTCACCCTTTCTCTTTCCCCAATGAACTCGTTAAACCCTGATGAGGTTAGCAGACAGACCATGTATTCACTTTTTCCCCCGCGCTTACCTTGTGTGTGCTGCAGGACCGCAATGTACTCCGCATGCTCGCTAGGCAGGCTTTTCAAGAAGGCTTCCATATTAAAACTGTACGTCAGACCCGCCTTTTTCTTGTCGCCCGTGGCCGGTTGAAGGAACTTCTTGTAAGTGTAAAACAGGCTGGCGAAACATCTGACAAAGGCGGCCCGAACCTGCTCGGGGTGGAACGCTGCAGGACAAACCAGACAGATCTGGAGAGCGCACCGGTTGTGCACCAGGGTCTTGCAGGCACTGCACCTGTACATGCCGTCCTCCGCTCGCTCATCGCACACGGCACAGACGGCCTTGTCATCGGCCGGGACCACCTGGAGGCAGTGGCCCTCAACCCAGCACGTGCCTTCTGCATTTTGGATGGGCTGCGCGACAGACTGCGGCACAATCGTCGAGGCTGCCACCGTGGACTGAGCATAGACGGACGGTGCATAGGTGGAGCCCGAGTTGTAATCCGTGTTCAACGTCGTGACCGACAGGTTGGGCGCATGACCAAGGAAAGGAGCACTCGGCCGTCTCGGAACACCCGACCTCATCTCCATTCCAAAGGACGAGCTTCGCCGGGATGAGGCATCAAAATGACCCGACCGTTTCTCCCGCAGCGAAGCCTGCAGAGCCATACCCGAATCGTTCCGGGAGCTGGGCGGGAAGTGGCCCGAGGTCGGCGAGTTGTCCCTCGGGGAAGGTGGTGACCCGGTTTTGGACGTGGACCCGGTGCTCGGTCGGTCGGAGCCTTTGGATGAGAAGCCCCTGTACGCAGCTTGCTCGTTACGTGCATACAGATAAGCGTTGAAGATGGGTGGTTGGAACGTAGTCGGCATCGCAGGCTGTTGGCCAAACGCACTCGAATTGAGACTGACATACTTGGCCAGTTGCGTGGACTGCGCCCGGGCGTTGAAGATGGACGGGTTTTCCGACATAAACGCGTCAAAGGGGAACGTCTCGATTGCGTAAGCTGGAGGGCCAGTGGGGACCGCGCAGCGACTGTGGTGGGGCGCGGCAAGCTGGAGCAGCGACAGCAGCTTCCGGCGCTGATGACGCGGCAGGGGCGTCGGCTGCACCGTGCTCTCGATAACGTCGGCATCCAGATCCACCAGGACAAAGTCATCGGACGGCAATTCGACCTTCTCGTATCGACGCTCGATGCCCACAATGTACGGACATGGGGCCTCCAGGGCCTGGATCAACCGTGCTGGGAGCACCGGAATCAGCACGCCGGTCCACTGGAGCGGGAAGAGCAGGTCGACCAGGGCCCTGGTGGCCAGGTAGAGCATCGACGTGTGGGACGAGAGAAAGATGATGCGGGACTCGGTAAGAGCGTACTCGAACAGGATGATGATGTTCGACAGGGACAGCGTCCGGAACAACGCATAGAGATCAGTGTTTCTGGATCCGGGCAGCTCATTGACTGCCTCCTTCCGCGCGAAGAGGCGCAGCTCCCGGACTGCCAGCTCGACCTGCGTCTTGGACGAGTTGGGGCTGAATGCCTCGGTGCACAGATTCATCACGTATCGCTCCAATGGTTGCCAGACACCCATGCGCGGTGAGCTGGGAGGGACTCGCTGAACGCCGCCGTCGGTCATGGGCACAATGATGGCCTTCAACCACTCCTTCCAGAAGCTAGTCATGCTCTCCTCACGCCCCAGAATACCATATGCGCGTGGAATCCAGAAACCGGTTTCTCCGTCGGTCAACCCTTCAATCTTTGACGCCGCCCCGAGACGCACCGGCCGCAGCAGATCGGTCATCAGTCCAATCTTCTCCTCCACAGCGCTGATCTCATCCTCCAACTGTTCTCTCGACTCCGACCCGGACGCTACGGTGGGAAGCTGCGCCAGGAGTCTTGACAGCTTGGCCCGCTCGGAGGCCAGCCGTTCCCCAAGACTGGCCGCCAGCTCTCGCTCCTCGTCCGTCATGTTCTCTTTCCTCCACTCTTCACAGCGCTTCTCCAACTCTTCGGCCGCTCGTTGGTTCAGGGGGATCCAAATGATCACGCAGATTGCATGCAGTCGCGACCCGTTGTCAGTCGTCATGGTAAACCCATGCCACGTGGATCGAGGCCGCTGGTCGGAAGACACGATATTGATATCATTGGGAAAGGCAAACATCGGCACATAATCCGGGAAGTTTCCGCGCTGCTTCAGCTCCTCCGTCATACCTTTTGTTGGATATCGATCGAGAAGAACGGGCTCGAATCTCCGTTTCAGGGGGTGCATCGTGGGGGAGAATTCTAGGGGTTGCGGAGCGGGGATGACGGAGTTGTAATTGCTGAGACGCCGTGAAGTACGAATGGACGCTGTCAAAGGAAAAGAACAGGGTTTAGTTTATTGTCAAGGCAGATGGCGGGGTATGGCGAATATCGCCGAATATGTACTTACCCTGACGGGCAACCGAAGGCTGCCGCTTCATACTGTTCATATCCCGAAAGGCCATATGTCGTCGTACGCTACCGATCCCAGATCGTAGTAGGCTCGACGGTTGTGACGGAGTCTCCTCCGAGGTGATCTTCTGAGTGCGCAACCGAGACCGGGGCGTGAAGCGGGAGTGATGGCCCGGCACTGAGGCTCAGGTCGGATAGGAACGAGTCCCTCTCGGACGCGAACTTGAACAGCGCCTTGTCGAAGTCGAAGTCCTCCAGAAATGACGAGCCCCGGGGGGATTGCGCACCCTTGATCGTCAAGCTGCTCCGATTGCTGTTGGAGCCGTTCGCGTTTCCCTCGGCGGAGTTTTCCGAGCGCATCGAGAATCGCTGAAATGAGTTCCGGCCGGGTAAAGTCGAATTGGGTCTCGAGAGCCCGTCAAGACGGGGGTCGTGAGCCTCCTCAGCGTCCGCATCCTCCTCGATGGTATCTGTGAGAGCGGGACCGGGAGAAGTGGCGCTGTTTGCCCTATATTCATCGCCCAACCTTCGAAAGGTCTCTAGTACCTCCGTGCCATCCACGCCAGCTATCCAAAAGTAGTCCGCGAGAGGCGTGGTTGACACCTCCGGGGTGGAAGAGTAAGGCATATTTTTTTGGGTCGGATGAGGGGGTGTGATGAGCTGCTAGCAAGTGGATGATCGTTCAATTCGTCACAAAATCTACCGTATATTTTATCGTCATCACAAAATGAAGCCAAAAATAAAACTGAAAAAGCAAGTGTCAATCAACTGTGACCTTGAGCGCGAAACCAGCGCCAATTGGGGAGGGTGGCTTCAACGATCAGGAGCTTCGGGATCAATAGGGAGAGAATCGCGGTGGAGACGAGGACGCATAAGTAGAGGAGAATTGCGACAATGGTCGCGGGATAGGCTGGACAACCTTGCTGGAAGGATGAGCCGTACAGGTATATGAAATTGGAACAGAAGAAGCAAAGATAGATGAGATGAGTGTGGAGAGAGAAAAAGCAGTTGTGTTTGAAGAGGGGAAAGGGGAAAATTTGGGAATGCGTGGAGAAATTGATCTACTCCTGCTGCATGCAACCAAAGCACTAGAGGTGGGAGGGGGGTGGAAAAGGAGTAGTACGTAGTATCTAGTAGTAATAATATCTAGCAGTGAAGGACAGATAAATTAATATCTAGTTACTAAATAATAAAGAAGGGAGAACAACGGAATAATAGTAGTGATACAACTAGTACCAAGAAAGAAGCTCACCTCTCTTGACCATTCTTTCTTCTTCTCTTCTTTTCTTTGCGATATCCCCATCGCTTTTCATCCAGTAGACTGATACTAAGGTACGGTCCTTCTACGACCCCATTTCGGCCGTGTACTGCCCCTCTACTAGCTCTACGTACCCGTTTCTTCCTCGTTCTTTGCTCTCTCCAGGCTCCGGTCTACGCTTTCTTTGGTTCAATCACTCCAGTGGTTCCAGTCTACTCTCCGCTCCGCTGTGCACACGCACACCCAAGGCGAACAGAACCGTCCATGCACTTGAGTCTAGTCCAACACTAGGACGCCGGGTATACCCACTTCTACCTGCGCAACTGGTGGCTGACTGTGATATTTTACATTTACTTTCTGTTATCTGCGAGGGACATGGTATTATGAGGTAATCGACGATCAAAGAATTGCTATCAGCCGAAACTAGCGACAGAGAATCTCGACAAACGACGTCCATTCGAAAGGCAGGAAATTTTTACTTCCATGGAAAAAGAAAAGAAAGAGGCAGGGCATAAAGGAACGGGAACCAACGTGCAGACGAAACCGAGATGCCTCGTTGGGACCATTGATTTCGACCGCACCAATGCAGGAGAGACAACGATAATTTCGAAGGATCCAGGGCGCTGTACCGAACTCCTGCAGCCTGCAGGTTGACTTGGATAAATTCAAGGAGGTAATTATTTGTGTTCAATTATTTTCGTCACGCTAAAAATTTCTGGTGACACATTCACGTACTTTAATCCAGCCTCTCCACCGACAATTTCAGCCACGACTATGGCGTCTTTCATCCTCTTCGACCTGACGGAGGATGTCTCTCAGTTCTATAGATACAGAGTATGGCCTATTGTACCGAGTAACTAGTTATCGACACTCACAGTGATCAACGTTGGGAACAGCCTACCGGGAGTTGCCAATGTTCGGATCAGTGGGGAGCAAGTCCGATGGATTTCAAGTGAGCGACCCCTGCCTATCAAAATTCTAAAACAATACCTCTAGTCCCCTGGTACTTGAACGGCTGGAGAGAAGCACTACTATCCAGACTGGAAAGGATCAACATCGGATGTAACCTTTTCGGTTGTGGTGACCGGTGGACTGGCAACTAACTCCCTTGCTTGATATCAGCATTTGGCTGTCAACCCCCCCGCCATCAGGAATCTTCCAGTTGTCCAGTACAGTCAGTATGGTCAGTACCTACCTCAGCGTCGGCAACGGCTCGGGCGTTTAGAGTCTCGAACGGTTTAGAATCCGGGATTTTCAGCTATCGTACGTCCGAGTGTCTAGATAGAACAGTCTGGCCTTTGGTGATATGCTGGATGATTGGATAGGAGAATCCTCCCTCAACAACACAATCGAAGCAAATGGCACATGGTCGATATCTCGAGGTTACCGTTTTCGACTCTGAAGAGGATAATCCCTCGCATAGTAAATACTTCAAGTTCAAGATGTAAGTAGATCTTACAGTGTGTGAAGATCCAACAACGTAGAAAATGTGGGTTTCCTGCCGAGGCTGCAACATTCACTGTGGAGTAAGTTCCTAGTATTAATTATTCATAATGCCGAGTGCATAACAATTTAACTATCAAACCGTCAAGCATTGTTTGCCTCTTCTTGATACATGTTCGTCCGTCCGTAACCAGCCCTCGGCAACAGATCATGATGCTGGTCGCATCCCCAGACGCAGATAATTCCGGGGCTGGCCCCTTCACCCCGGCCCCAGCCATGGAGCACCGTTGTCTCGACGCAGGGGGTGTAAGGGAGGAGGAGTAGGGATTTCTGCAGCTAACCAGCCTCGTCTACACACTAAGGCACCGAACTGACTGCTTATGACTTACAGTATCCGTACTTTGTCCATCATCCAAGGTCTTGATGCTGTTCGTTGCCGGGGTTGGCACTTGGCGGTTCTGTTTCGCATTTTCAATCGGGAATCCATAACCAAGGATCTTCTCACGGTGCTAAGAACTGAAATCCTCATAATTGTTCTCAAAGTCCAGCCCATATCGGTTCTACGTTTGATCGCCATTATACAATGGATCGTGATGTGGCATCGTGCTACGGTGACTCCGTCTCAGATGTTCTCGAAACATGATCTCAGAACTACCCATGGTTGTTTCATCCCATCCCGTTGGGGAGCCTTGTCACTCGCTCTCCTTGACCCCTTCTGCTTGTTTCAAATCCCGAGCCCTGACGATGACAGCCTTAAGAACGCCACGGTACTCCACCTTGCAGATGCCACATTGTTTAGGCCTACCCTATCATGGATCAACCCTGTATCTACAGAGTACGCTTTGTAAGGATTCATGAACCGTTCGTATCAGATTCACTCCATAGAGAACGGTAAGGTTCTCTGGATATAATAAACCATCAAATACTCTATACTCTCCAACAACTCCAGTTGCGTGAAGCTTCAGTGCTCACCAAGAGCCTGCCAAGATCGAAAAGCCTCAAGAAAATCCGGCTGTCGTCGACCATTTTCCCTTTCATATTCATATTCGCATTCGGCACTCTTTCCTAACAACTCCTCACCTTCCCTCAAATCAAGAATCGGGACCATAGATGGCCGCCCATGAGCGCACTGAAAAGGCAGCACGCATCGGGAAAGTCGACCTACAAGACTCTCGCATTCCTCGGCCGTCAGGGCATCGTTGAACATGATTGCTGTCCTGCATGCTCGAGAGTTCAGCAAGTGAATAATCCCCTGAGGGCAACTCTTGAGTCGTTCCACCCAGCTGTCCTCGGTCTCACACCCCAACTCGTCCCGATATATCTTGGATCTCTGGGCTCGTCGATCACTGACAGCCAAAGCACCCCGTCCGTTCTCCTCCTGTCTCCATATCTCCCCGCGGATCAAGTCGCTGACCAGATTTGGCTCTACTCGGCATCGCTCTGCAATCAGTGTGGGAAGTGAATGCACTACAGCGTGGGCAGCTCTGGCTGATTTCCGCTCAACAGTGTACCCAACGCCCCAAGAAGCAAAGAAGTCGGCATGCTTTCCAAAAAGAGTGGCTTCCATTAGCGGGATATCAAAGGTAATAGGCTCAATCCTGATGGTTTGAACTTGACGATGACCGCAAGCGAACATTTCTCCAAAAAGGCTCTCAATTCGGCATCGTTCATCCGCAGCATGTTGATCAATCAAGACCAAGATCGGCCGTGAGCTATGGCCGTCAGCGAGCTTTGCGAGGATAAACTTTCGATCCACCTGTGCAATGATGTTGGCCGTCGCCAGGTGACTCTTGCTTAATCGCCCTCGGAATTTCGCCAATCCAACATCTTCCAATCCGCAAGACTCTTCCGAGCCGTCAAAAGGCCGAATGAGGCCCTTATCACTCGTATTTCCGTGACTTTCACCGTCACCAATCGCGGTTATTGGTCTTTCCGGTCTACTGAAAGCAGGGTTTTCCCATCGTCTCAAGAGGCTCTCAACCCAGATATTATGGCTCGTGCTTGAGATTGCCGTGCTTGAGATTGCCGAGCTTGGCCTTGACCTATCGACCGCTCGCAGTGTCTGAATTGTTCTGGCAGACCGGGGGCGCTCGTCGACTGTAAATTCCGTATATGGTGATCTAACGTTGACTGCTTGGCCCGTTCTTGCATTGATCAAATGAGTACGTCCAGTATGGGGGTCGGTCCATGGTATCGACGCATCAACATCCGACCTATCGTTTTCCGTAATCTCCAGATTGGTACCGGCCGATGAATCATCTGTTTCTAGGCAAATTGACAGCGATTCTCTACCTTGGTACTGCGAAGCAGGCCTTGAATCTGTTTCCTTCCACCCATCGGCCAATTCATGCTTACCAGCAGGCGGCTCTCTCGCACTTTTGACCCTAGACCAAGTCGCAAAATCTGAAGTAGCGTTGGTTGACGTTGGCCTTCGAAACGTCGGCAGCTTCAACTGGCCTGCCAAGGCTTCTTCACCAATGGAAGATCTGTCGTGCGAAGATACCGATTTCGCAAGGTGGGATCTGCCGGCCCCTGGCGACTCAACGCTCGCGAACCTAGACGCACCTTTCGTTTGTCGGCCCGCACGCGGTCGTAGGCCACGTTGTTTCAAGAGCTCACTTATCATGGCCGCAAGCACATCAATGAGACGCTGGACGGACTGGTTTGACTCCGGTACAACCTCATGGCCATCCTCGTAGAGTTCTCTAGGATCATCGATGTCTATGCGAATGTAGAACATCGGCCACTTGTTCACTGCCTTGCTTGTAAACCTAGGACCTGGGTTTCCGTCGCTGCTTACAGGGGCCACTTCAACCGCACCAAAATCGGACAAAGCAAACAGGCGGTTGATTTCACTATAGAGCAGGTCCGTGCTGTTGCGCGGGTAGACTGGGTCGATCCCAACGGAGATAAACTGAACCTTCCTCGTGGGGCTCGGCGCAAGGGATACAGCGGCGCGCAACGAAATCCCAGGGACGCATGCTGACACTGAGTTCCAGCTACCAGAGTTTTGCGATTCAATCAGACCGGCCTGCGTAAGTATAGAAGTGATGCGTTTGATATCCAAATCACCCTTCGTCTCTTGACGTCCAGCGTGCGAGCGAATCATGCGCTTCCTCTCTTTTCCAGCAGTAGAGACCACCAGTTTAGTGAGATGGTCACTTGCCAACATCAAAGAAACGAGCAGCCGCCAGAGATCATCCCACTGCCGCTCGAATTCGTCGGGTTTCTGAAGGGCTAGGGCCCGACTTTTCACGCGTACGGGCATATTGCCAAACAAGTCATTGACAGTAACGCGCGTCCCATGACTGCTAGAACTCAAATGATGCGATGATGGTGCTGGAATCAGCCGTGCGATCGGAGTCGAATGATGGAGAATGACACTGTTGGTGCTGTTGTGGCGGACATGGTGTGAGGTCACCGTCAACAGTGAAAGAGAAGCCAGAGCAGCGAGGAATAGCCCTTTACGACCGTAGACAGCTCTTGCTGAATTTAATTTCGAGGTATCTGCATGGGAGGTGAGCGAGAAGACAGAAGACAGCTAACCAGTACGACGCCCACGTACGATGTGCTTTCCCTAGTCCTCCGTCCGACTCGAATTCGGCCGGGGGGATTCCATCACCATCGTCCTCAACAACACATCCCCCGCGGTGAAAATCAACCGTTACGGAGACTGTATGTGCATTTGCATCCAGCGCATTCTTGACGAGTTCCACAACCGCTCTGTTTAGATCGGTAATGGAAGTTGATGATTTAATCTTCGCCACGACGTCCGGCGGGAGTGGCTCTATTCTGCTGTCCTCTGAAGACATGACGGAAGTAGGGGAGAATTCGACTTCTCTTTTCATGCGGAACAGACTGTCTTCACATGATTATAGCATTGTATGGCCCTTGGCCAATCTTTAAAAGTAGTTGCCACCAGAGTGGCATATGAAACACCGTTAGACTATGATGTAGCATCGGATCTAGAATAAGACAGCAACAGCACTGGAGCATTCAGCTTCAAAAATCAGGAGCGACAGATCAGTGTCGTTTCCATGCTTGTTGTCTAAGTCTGGAACAGTTGCTAAGAGGGAAACAACTGCTGCAGTTGATAATATGTGTCACGTGGCAGATTACGTGTGTTTATGTCTGGGCCATATGTTGTCTGGTGTCTGAGACAGCTGACCTATCTATCTCCCCATCTAAGCGCCGGGAGGGGATAGTCGCATAGTCCCAGTCAACACCTGTCTATATATGTTTCCTAAGCTCTGCTCCATAATGCGATTAATGTCACTAAACATGAAAATATTGTCTTCTATTTCTTTCTTTGCAAGCACAGTTATTGAAGATCTCTCTTCGTTCTCTATATCAGGCGGTCGTTGACCTATATGTTTTCTCGACAATGGAGCAAGCAAGTCGATGTCAGAGCATTCCTTGTTTTCCAACGTATCCAGCGTTCCTACAACACTTTCGTGGTGCTTTCGGTACTTGTCAGCGGGCTTGCTGTTTCCGCCTTGACCTTCTCCGAATTTCATCCACCAAACAGCGGATTGTTACAGGCTTCTGAAGGCCTTTTGTGCAGCTCGGCCATTACAGCTGTAATCTCTGCTGTTGTCGCCACTATGCTGGGTTTTCAATTCGAGGGGCTGGAGATGGCGACCCGAAGGGATTTGACTGTTGCCTGGGTGCCCTTGGTACTCCTGGACCTTTCGATCCTCGAATTCCTCTTCGGGATGGTCTGCTGGTACCTAGGTAAGAGTGGTTATTGGAGAGGGAGTTTGATGGCGACACAATTTGCTTTCTTGATTGCCCTTTGCCTCGCCTTTTCAATATGGACGTGGTACTACATGAGCAAGAGATGGGGGCTGGAAAAAGAAGAAACTCAAGCTGCCGTTACTCGTTGCGGATAAGTAGGGTCTTGCATCGTTACCTCAGATGACTCGCAGCTTCCTCAGCAACCTGACGATGATGTCTGCGCAAGCCAAATCGCTGCATTATTGGGCCACTGCTTCCACGGCTGTAGTGGCTTTCCGACGAAGTCCAAAGGAGTGTCACCGAAATTCCGGACGGTGGTTGGCTAGCTGGAGAAGCTTAGAAAGCACGCAAGCAGCCTGAGGTTATGTACAGGTTCTCCGATGGCACCTCGACTGAATCCGCCCACCAGCATCCTTTGTCTGTCCTGGTAACAAACTCTCCAATTGCACCCATCGAACCGAGTAAGATGATTCATCAATTCATCGCGCACAGTTGACCCGGGTCTTGCGGACCCCAGAGAGTAGAAAAGTCGTGAGCAGCATATTTTTCCAACTGCCGGCCTCAACAGACGCGACAAGAGAAGGAGCAAATGTGGCCCAATGGGGATGGAAATGTCTGGCTTGTTGGCGCATGGTGCTGGGACGGAATGGTGCTCCTTGAAGGATGCGTCATGTCTGTGATGAGGGTTGCAGCGTGCCTGGATGTCGATATATCGTGGTCAAAGGTCAAATGAAGGTGATGCGTCACGACACATGTTTCAAGCTTGGCGACTGCTTTCCACAAGCATGACCGGCAGCGTCAAGCGTTGTACAATCAGCATAACCACTTGTTGTATATAATGCCGCAGATTTGCAAGTCATGTCCTATTCAGCGCCTAGGTTCTCTGCCCTCGTGCCACAACAATAACTCCTCTGACTACTCCGGTCTGACCCCACCAGTCGAAAGCATTTGCTGCCCCCTTGTACCTGCCTATGGTCATCCCGTACTTGCTTAACTCGGCGTCCTGTTTCCTCAGAAAATTTGCTATGCCAGGAAAGACATGTTCCGAAATATCCCGCATTTCGATCAGGGTACTCTCATACCCGGCCTGCGTCAGAATTCTTTTATACCCTGTCTTTGTGACGAAGTTTCCATATGGCATCCCAGCCACCAGGCACATCAAGCGCAATACAAACCTCTCCCAAGGCGTGGCTTGATCTGAAAGCAGGAGATCAAATGCCATTATAGAGGCTTGCATATCTTGGTACGCACATTTGAACAACCGATCACGAGAGGGTTGGAAGTGATACAACGTATCAAGCGCTAATAGCCATGTATGAGTTTTCTTCATGCACTCTTGTATCGGCTCCCCTTTTACGCTCTGACCGAAAATAGCGCGTTTAAGGCTCGATTCCCATGAAGAAGGATCCGCTGCGTTGGCAGCAAAGATCTTCACGTCTGTTGTTTCCTGAGTAGTTCCTTCGAGGTCCGTGATAGATCGAACCTGCGAAAGTCGATCTCTGGCAAAATCTGCTTGAGAATTTACGACTGTGAGACCAACATATGAGTCGAAGAGTGGCCGGAGTGAATGAGCTTCTTGCATGCTACATTTAGAAGCAGTGGGAATGTCAGTCGTCCTAAACAGTTGCCTGGTTAAGTAGAGAGACTGGTCGCCACAGCCCATTCCCACATCAACCAATTTCATTTCTTGAAGAAATGATTCTGATTTGGTATTATTGTCTGCATCGAACGTGATTGGTGTTCGATCTTCATTCAAAAGCTTTGCTGTGATCAGGACTTGCTCTAATAGGGCTTCGCAAGCTTCGGGGAAATGACTCGTGTGCTAAGTTTTCGTTAATATCATTTTTCATGCGGTCCAATAGAGGAGCAGAACAGCTAGGGTAGAAAGAACAACTTGCCGTAGTGACAGTGTTCCTGATGTACCTTCCAATACCCCATATTCATCCACATTCCTCTGGCTGGAGGGACCTCCACACTTAGGATAGCATGGTCTAACCCATACAATTCCTTTCCCTCGAGGAAGTCAGTGACACGCGCTAGGATATTCACTATGAATTTTAAGGGGAAAACAAGCCCCTTGAGGAACAAACTGATGGGATTGCCCATCATAAGTTCAGGGAACTAGGGCCACTTGATTTGTATGACTGGTGGCTTATTCTGTTTTTCTTCCCACACAATGTGATATAGGACACTTGACAATGGGGGAGAAGAGCAATAATAATACTTCTGTTTAAGACAGCCAGAGTCCCCTGTTCTCTAAAATATCATATAATCCAGGTGGACTTGGCGCAGATAGTGGGCCACCTCTCGTGCTTTTCCTGCTTATTTCTCTAGTGTCCTCAGGAACGGGCTACTGGACAGAAATGAAGTTCCGTTAATTGTTAAAGAGCTATTTTCGCTCACATCTCAGCTCAAATACAGCCATTTCGAGTCATCATGAGGGAGGACAGGAGAAGCGGCAGGACAGGTTGATTTGGGCCCGAGGCAGCCATCACGTGCTGGCAGTCATCCCCCTTGGGACTCCTGACGACGGTGTTGTAGACGCAGCCAGCATTTACCCAGCCATCATATTCTCTTGCTCCCTTGGTTTAACCTGGCTACTTTCATTCCTCCTCCTCTTTCTTCTTCTGCAGTATTGAAGATTATTTCCAGTCAGCTGGAGATCTAACGAGCCGTGAACCCAGACTTCAGCAGCCACCTATGCTTCCGTGATTTGTGGCTTATCTGATTGCCCGATTTGTCCCTCTGTCACCTGTATTGCGGCAACCCTCACTCGACATTGATTGGCAACACCGATTATCTGGAAATCCTCAACTCTAATCATTCACCTTGCAATTGCCTGCAGATCGTTACGCGGCCAAAATGGCCACAGCTGATGTCCCTGCGCGGACTCATGGTTCGTCTTCGCAAGCATTCTGTCCCTCATGAGACAAACCCAAATTGACAGATGATAGTTCGCAGTGGACGTCGCCACCCATTTTCTAGCTGGATGAAGAGACTCACCAGTCTGAAGGGCTCCTCGACCGACTCCGGCACAATTCGCTGGTCCCATAAACGTCATGACGCTCACAAGAACAAGAGAAACAACAAGAACAACCCTTACCCCCTCTCCGGTACCACGAACGTTGTCGGGGAATACAGCAGTGATTTCGTGGCTTCCGTCTCGGATACAAATGCTGCGAATGGGCCACGATCGTGCTCATATAGTGCACCTTCCATTGCCTGTTCCGGATACGACAATCAGGTGCCTGCGACAAGTGCAAAGTCAACGGCTCCGACCATCTCAACGAATGGGGACACCGCCATTTCGGAGGCAGCATACTCCAAGGCAGGAACGATGGCGACAGCGGGAGGAGGGATCAGCTCTCAGGGCGGAGGCGAAGGAAGTACCTTCTCTTCGCCCGCGCCGTCGGTCCGTTCGTTGACAACTACCCTAACTACCGTGCAATCCGCCGCGCCGTCCACCCACTTCTACAACGTGCAAAGTACACATCAGGGCCTAGCGCATGCGAACTCGACGCACAGCACCGCGAATCAACAAGTACAATTTTCCCAGCCATTTCCTTCCTCCCCAGCGACCGCGGTGCCATCCCACCTTGTCCCTCACGGCCACTCCCATACATACAGCACTGCGACTGCCAACAATATTCTTACTGACAATGCATCCATCCTCACTCTGGCTTCGTCTTCAAAACGGCGCCGCAGGAACTCGCTGGATACGAACGCATCGGTCCGCGCTCTTGCGCCGTCCTCTGTATTTGGTGGGAGCCGCGAAAGTCTGCCACTGAGCGTGCTCAGTGCAAACGTTGGAGAGCCATCCAACACGTCCACGTTCAATACGCCCGGAATACTCAATCGACCCAGCATGGTGGGTCTCGCTAGCGCGGAGCGCATTAGTGTATACTCAGCGTCTGGTGCGATCACGAGCGGCGAGCGAGGGAGCTACCATAACAAACCGAATCCAGGCACGGGAGATGGTGCAAGTGTCAAGAGCGCAGCGTATTCGCACAGTCGCAACGACAGCTATGCGGCGAGCATCTCAGGCGGGATGGGTGTCGCGATCGCCAGCGGGTCCGTCAATCAGCCCATGACGGGGAGGGTCAGTCGTCGCAGCTCAGGGTGGGGTGAAATAACTGGCGATGAAGGCGACCAGGAGAAAGAGGACAAGGAAGAGCGGCCAGCAGAATTGAAGGAGGAGGACTCCTTTGATGATGTGCCTGAAGGGACGACTGAGACGACAACGACTGCAACGACAAAGAATTGATGATGCCGAAAATGATATGACTTTTTACACAGGAGAGTCTGCCGTGAGCTACGCAACGAAGTTACGCAAAATACCTGCATGACAGAGTGGGTTAGAATATTATCATCAATGGTTTCCTGCTTTTTCCCTTGTTTTTCCGGTTGCGAAGGAAGGATGGAGGTCTGTTTGCTTGGGATGGGAGTCAACTTGCCTTAACCTGGGCGTGGCGTTTGGGTTTCTTACTGGTTATTGTATCTAGGTATACCTTGATTGTTGGATGCATGGAGACTATTGATATCCCGCTGGCATTGTTTAGCATGATTAACTTTATTATTTCTTCCTAGTTGACACTTGACTGCGTATGTATACCTGCAGTTTAAGCTTAGTATGTGGTGCTTAATTCGTAGTGCTTAATGTGGATCAACGTTGATTCTCAACTTGCGAAGGATGGTCACAATCATAAATGTAGAAATACCAGCAAACCCAGGAGAACTGTCGCAAGTATGACGGCGTGGCGCTGGAAGTAAGCTTCAACAAGTCCAGGCAACGATTATTCTCAACAATGACAATGTTGAACCGACCCCTGAAGCCTGAAGGTCACCAATGCAAGCTCAGTGGCTGAAATGCCCGGAGACAGCACCAAAGTGAGTTAAGGGTCCCAGCCAATTTATTAGAGGCTAGTCAAGAGGGCGGAGCAGCACATGCTTTCTACTCTGCAGAGTCCCCTGCCGTGGGTGATCATATTATCATTAATTCGGGATAATTGATTGAAGGGTTCATTTTTGAGCCAAGAACGATGCGGGTCTTTTGATCAGCAGAAAAAAATAAACTCCTCCTTCCCGACGTCAGTTCTTATTTCTGTCCTTTCTTTCAAGAGTTACGGCCTCCATAATTTCCTTAAGGGCCTTTTGGTTGGTTAAGTGTTACCATGAAAGAGCATCATCGTCGACACGTCGCGGTGGTGGGCACAGGAATGGCAGGTTTGACGGCCGCCTACCTGCTACACAATGATCCACAGCAACGGTTCCGAGTACGACTAATCGACAAGGTAGATATTACTTGGTGTTCACTAGACAAAATCATCTGTCACTGACGGTGAATAGAGAGATCAAATTTCTCTGAGTGCGGAGTCTATACCAATCCCCTGCTCGGGGCCAGGGGGTAGCAAATCAGTGTGGGCCGACGTGCCCATGCGCGCCTTTGCCGGCGGCTTCTATCGCAATCTCATTCGCATGTATGACTATCTGGGAGTTCGATATCACTCGCAACCGTTTATTTTTAGCTTCTCTCGGCTGTCTTCGGGACGACGACAGCAGCAGGAGGAAGAGCCGTATATGGTGCATACTTCCAACTTCCACCAGCTGTCCCCGTTACTCCCTCGCAAGAGAGACGTTTTCCAGTGGCTTACCGAAGCTGTTTTTGCACTGGTGTGCTATCTGTGGTTCAGCGTGTGTTGCTTTCTTGTCACTCCGATAGAAGACGAATCATTCGACCACTATCTTCGCCGCATCTATCTGCCGCAGTACTATAACGCCAATTACCTCTTGCCGCTGATTTCCAGCGTCTGTACCTGCTCGCACGAGGAACTGCTCACGTTCCCGGCAGTGGATGTACTCGAATACAAGAAGCTCACGAATCGCCAACCGCATTACGTCGTGACAGATGGGGTCCACACTGTCCAGGAGACGCTCCTGCGTGGGCTAGACGTGCGGCTTGGTGTCCAGTCGACCAAAGTCACGCCGACTCCGAACGGAGTTGAACTCACGTACCGCAAAGCGGACAGCGGGGCTCAGGAAATCACCGAATTGTTCGACCTGGTTGTTTTGGCTGTGTCCCCGGACGTCGTGGCGCACATCTTCGAGCCCTTGGCATCTTGTCTGGGCGAGGTCCCCACGACCACGGTGAAGACGGTGGCGCATACAGATTTTGCCAATCTCCCGCAGGTGGGAACGGGAGTCAAGCAGCCAGGAGTCAGGGCTTCTAGCAAAGCCGGCACCCCCAGCACATTTTCCTGCGCTCCAACGCGTCCACCACGGAATCGGTCCACGTGCAGCCAAACTCGGTCCTTGTCACGACAAACCCGCTAACGCCTATCGATGAGACCAAAGTCATTCAATCGGCGTCATTTACGCGCGTGCTGCGAAGTCCGCAGAGCCGGCGGCTGATCAATCGCGTTTTTGACAAAGAGGGCAGACACAGTGATTCTAAGGCGATCAACTGGCGCAGTGGTGACAACGGCGTGTATCTAGCGGGAGGATGGTGCTGGGATGGAATGGTGCTCTTGGAGGGTTGTATCGTCTCAGCGATGCGAGTGGCAGCCGACCTGGGGGTGGAAGTCCCATGGGAAAGATGAGGGTTGAATCATGAATCTGACGTGAGATGACTGCATATACTTAGTAGTAATTCTGTGGAACCGATGATAGATACTAGCATATATATTTATATTTATAATATATAACACGAATAATGGGACTAAGCGACTGCTAATAATTGAATTTGGCTCCATCCTGGCCCCGGTTGTGATGACCAGCGGATCTGTGTTTACCACGCGTACACCGCAGCTGCTTCTATTCTCCGCACTCGTAGGTATTCAATTCCCAACACAAAACTCGCCATGAACCCCATCACTTGGTTTCTCAGTCTTAATTCGACGCCTCTGCAAATTCATATTCAGTCCAAAACAGCGTGACAGAAACCTCTACAGCCTCCACCAATGCCGCTCCGGTGGCTCGCAGACAGTCTCCCACGCCTGTTTGAATAGCTTCGTGTCACGCAGCCACAGTTCCCCTTCCGTGGGGAGAGAGGCGCGCCAGGAGGAGGAACAGGACGAGTTTGTGGGAATGTTTGCTCTGCCATTGGACGC